ACTTGGGGGCCAACGCGGACTGTGCGTCAGAGCCCTGGCTGGGGAGGGGAAACGGGATTATTTGGGGGGAAGAAAAAAAAATAAGAGTAAGCCTCGAGAAGCATGCAACTCAATTTGCGCCGATGGCCCCCAAAGCCGGCATGCCTGCGCGGGGCTGAGGGCACAGCTTCCACCGGCTGGCTCGCGAGCGATGGGGCTGAGCCCTGGGGGCACCCGGCTCTCCGCGGCCTTCTGAGCTGGGGAGCGGGGGCGCTGGGGGCGTTCTTGCGGCTGGCCAGCCCTTCCCATCCGCCCCGCAGCCTTGGCAGGGATGGTCGCTGCGGACTGGGAGTGAGCTCCGGCCAAAGCCAAGCGAAGTAAGCCGGCGCGCTGGCAGCCCGTCCGTCAAGGAGTGGCGAGGCAAAGGGGAAGCAGCTGCCAACGCGCGTCTGGAGCCCGCGCCACAGTGTGAGCCGCCCTGCCGGCTTCCCTGAAGACGTGAAAGGCGTCCGGGCTTGTGAGGAGCAGACGAGCAACAGCGCAGGGCAAAGCAGAGCCAGGGGCAGAGGAAGGAGGGCAGGACTGCAGGAGGTGTGTCTGGAGGGAGCCGTATCGCCAAGGAAGAAGGCGGCAAGAGGGAAAGGCCGGAGGAGGGGTGTGTGGAGGAAAAGACCGGAGCTTCAGCCTTCTCTGTCCTCAGAGTGCTTCTCCCCCCGCGGCCCCCCATGCACAGATAGCGAGGCACCCGCGCAGCGGACAGGCTGAAGTTTGAGGAGGGCAGCGGCTGTGTTGCCGGGCGCAGGACGGGGTGTCCCCCGGATCGGAGGATGGCGACCGAGGGGGGAGCCGGGCCGGCCAAGTCCGCCGTGGAGAAGCTGTCCTATGCCATGGGCGAGAAGACCAAGCAGCTGGGCACGGCCATGCAGGACGTGCACCGGCAGCGGCGGCTGATCCTGGTCATCGTGTGCGTGGCCCTCTTCCTGGATAACATGCTCTACATGGTGATCGTGCCCATCATGCCGAGCTACCTCACCAAGTGGGAGGCCCGGGAGAGCAACGCCAGCGGGGCCAACACCAGCTGGGCCAAGTCCGTGCTGGGGCCCGGGTACCCCCCGGAGAACGAGGACATCAAGATCGGGCTGCTGTTCGCCTCCAAGGCCATCCTGCAGCTGCTGGTGAACCCGCTGAGCGGCACCTTCATCGACCGCGTGGGCTACGACATCCCGCTGCTGATCGGCCTCACCGTCATGTTCCTCTCCACCATCATCTTCGCCCTGGCCGAGAACTACGCCACCCTCTTCGCCGCCCGCAGCCTGCAGGGGCTGGGCTCCGCCTTCGCCGACACCTCCGGCATCGCCATGATCGCCGACAAGTACACCGAGGAGTCGGAGCGCAGCCGGGCCCTGGGCATCGCCCTGGCCTTCATCTCCTTCGGCAGCCTGGTGGCGCCCCCTTTCGGCGGCATCCTCCACCAGTTCGCCGGCAGGCGGGTGCCCTTCCTGGTGCTGGCCTGCGTCTGCCTGCTGGACTGCCTGCTGCTGCTCACCGTCATCAAGCCCTTCGGCAGCCGGGCTCGGGAGAACATGCCCGTGGGCACCCCCATCCAGAGGCTCATGATCGACCCCTACATCGCCGTGGTGGCCGGCGCCCTCACCACGTGCAACATCCCCTTGGCCTTCCTCGAACCCACCATCGCCACGTGGATGAAAAAGACCATGGGCGCCTCGGAGTGGGAGATGGGGGTCACGTGGCTCCCCGCCTTCTTCCCCCATGTGCTGGGCGTCTACATCACCGTCAAACTGGCCGCCAAGTACCCGCACCTGCAGTGGTTCTATGGGGCCCTGGGCATGGTCATCATCGGGGCCAGCTCGTGCACAGTGCCCGCCTGCCGGAACTTCGGGCAGCTCATCGTCCCGCTCTGCGGCATTTGCTTCGGGATCGCCCTGGTGGACACGGCCCTGCTGCCCACGCTTGCCTTCCTCGTGGACGTGCGCCACGTCTCCGTCTACGGCAGCGTCTATGCCATAGCGGATATCTCCTACTCCCTGGCGTATGCCCTGGGGCCCATAGTCGCCAGCCAGATCGTGCACTCGCTAGGTTTCGTGCAGCTGAACCTGGGCATGGGGCTTGCCAACGTGCTTTACGCCCCGGTCCTCCTGTTCCTCAAAAACGTCTGCCAAATGAAAGCCTCTCACTCCGAGAGGAACATCCTGCTGGAGGAAGGACCCAAAGGACTCTATGACACCATCAAAATGGAGGAGCGCAAAGGCAAGGGGAAAACCCCCCATCCAACAGGGGGGATGCAAGGAAACAGCGTGGACTCTTACCACAGAGACCTGACAGGGGCCTCGGAGGAGGACTCTTCAGACTATGAATACAGTTAGGTTACACGGAGCTGGCAGAACAAGGGTTAAAATGGGTGTGGGGGGGGGGTGAAAGCATTATTGCCGTCTGTTTATGTACCAATGTGCACTATATACAATTTAACCTTTATCATGCTGTAATGTCTTCTCGACTTGTTTTAAGTTGGTATTTCCTTAGACACTGGCAAGGGAAAAGCACGAAGAAGACTAATCTAATGAAGCATTTACATAAATCTGTGGTGGTCCTTCCAAAAACTTTTAGCTGAGGTCTCTTGTGCAAAAGTTTTCTCGAGTTGAAAACTCTGTGTGTGACATACTGTATATCTCTGTAAAAATACATTAAAAGGGAGGGAAGTCTGTAATAAAATTCAGATGGCATATTCAGGGACTTAAATTTACTAAATCTTGTATATATGTACTGACACTTTCACTTGGTTTCATATTTAACAACAGCAACAAAAATCACATCGTATTATTTCTTCTTTGAGAACCAGCTGAAGCGCTGTAATCATTTTTTCTGTTGTGCTGCTACTTGGTAAATGCAATATACTGTATCATGTGTAAGTCCAAATCTACAAGGATAATATGATCTGAATAAATGAAGTTTGAGGGGTCCATGGTCTTTCTTTCATTGTTTTTGAGGGCAAGGATATTACTCTAACAAATGTCAAGAAGTTCCCTATAACATCAGCCTCGTTTATTTCTTAAGACCGATTCAATAAATTCAAATAAATTCCCTGGGGTGGAATCTCAGAATTCAAAGATTGACAATGTAAAAATGTTCCGACAGAAAATGTGTACTGAATTGCAAACAGGGCATCAAACTTCGCTGCGTACACTGTCTTGGTATTAAAGTATTGGTTTATTTTTTAAATACAGCACTTTTTCAATAAAGACTTTACATAATCAAATGCTTCCGAATTTTGCATTTACCCCACGTAGATTTACGGTAAGGAAAATGTAATACTTTGCCCAGAATGTAGTCCCGTCTATATCACATAATTATAATCTATGGGGATTAAAATAATAATACCTAGCTCTTATACAGCGCTTCCCATAGATCTCAGAGCGCTTCACAAAGGATGTCAGTATCACGGGCTAAAAAGGGCGAAGGTGATTTATTCAAACGTATCCAAATGATGGAACCTGTGGTCCAAACGCAAATATAAAACCGAAGCTCACATTTTTTCCCTGTAGATTCCCCCCTTGCTTATAGGTCGCTATAATACATCGTTTATTTAAATGTTCAACCATCTATTAGACAAAACAAACGGCTTCTTTTCTAAAAAATAAAGAGTCCCCTCCCGCTAGAGTTCCTAGAAAAATGAAGAAGAAACACAACAAACCAGTCATCAATTTCACTTGGTCATCAAGGTCTCTGATTGACATAGGGCGTTATGATAGCAGCTGTCAGGGCCTCGGAGTCCCCTCTCAGAGGAACAAATAACAATGGAAGCGCTGCTTTGTAGTGGCATTTTGGTTTCGGTAACAAAGAATCAATAATGACCATAGGACCAAGCTGAGTCCCACATTTCTAAAATAAAGCTCAACTTGCAACTGCCAAAAAGAAGATTTAAGGATGTAACCATTTTTTTTCGCCTGGAGTTAGATAACTGGGATTTCCCTGGCATCCGTCCATAGTGCTATTGGTATGCCTTTAGTTAATGTCTGAAAGCTTACTTTCTTTTCAGTGTGGCTAGATTCAAATGATCATTTGCTTTTGTGTGTGCTGGTAAGGAGGCTCAACCAGGGTAGCAATATTTACAAACCCAGGGACTGCACACTAATTAAACACCCACATTCTGATTTCATTTTAAACCAGCGGAAAAAGAGAAAGTGCTTACCTTTTTCAGGACAGCCAATTTGTATCAAAAAAAGAGAGAGAGAGAGACAGAGAGAGCGAGACCGCTGCCTCGTCCAGCTGTGACTCTAGGGGAACAAATAATTTCTGTACAGAACTCCGATTCTTATTATTCAAAACCCTTTGGTTAACCATCTTCGCCAATAGACTAGTACTACTTTAAACACCGGGTGCAGAGGATATTTAATAAGCTCTTTCGAAATGCACTGCCAATTGCTCCTTAAAACTAACCCGCACCCCCGATGCTAGCGGGCTAGAGATTTAGAAATAAGATATGACTCCATTCTAACGAACGCGGGGAATAAAGACCTGACTTGGTCAAAGGAGAAGCTGCTATTGTTTAAAGGGCGGGAGGAGGGGAGAGAATTTGCATTACAACTGAACTAAAGGCAGCAAAAATGGGGAATTGAATTTTTCCTTGGAGTCAGAGCTGTTTATTTCCCTCCCACTCCCTTACCCCCAGTAACACCGTTAATCATCTAATGAACGCCAAGGAAAAGAACTTTAATTCAAGCTTGGAAGCATTGCTCAATACACAGGAGAGGCCCTGTCCTTCAACCTGCTCCTTTAAGGGCTGGAGAGTATTAAGGATTCCCAACGGGGCCGAGGAAGCAGATCGGGAATCGGGAGAGGTCAGAGCACATGTATATTGCGTACCCATTGCGTGTCTGACCTTTTCCCTTCGTCAGACTGCCGCACGTGGCAGGTTAACCTGATAGTCAAGCAACGAAAGACCGAAAGAAAACGTGGCTTTATCGAAGTCAGCGCAGAAGGGGGACCCTGCCTTCCCTGCACCAGCTTTCCACTCGGAAAAAAAGGCGCCTTCACTTTGAAATACACGCCATGGGGCGATGCCCAGTAACTTCGGACAAGCCGCTCCCGGGCACTAGTCGCTGAGAGAGACTAGTGCCATGTTGCTTTTAAACGCACAGTCTGCTGCTGGGTTAGGGACCGCGAACCATGCAAAACCCCTGCCGCTGGCCCCGGAGAGGAGGACGCTCTCCGCGTGTCCAGCCTGTAGGAAAGCTGAACTCTAGCGGGAGGATGGTTTGAGGTTGGGCTGGGTTGCCTTATGGGAGGCCGCTCAGGCTGCACGAATAGGAAGGGAGGGAAGGAGGAGTTAGACAGCCAGACCTGGGGGAGGCTGAACGAAGAGCTTCTCCCAACGCAGTGTATGTGTCCAGAAGGAAAGGGAGACATGAAAGTACCTTGGACAGAGCAAAAGCAGGCTCCAAAGCCTCCACATTGCCCAGAGCGCTTCTGAGCCCTCAAGAAGCGCTTTGAAGCCTGAAATATCCACCCCCCCGTTTCCCTCTGCTCCTGACATTTGCGTTTGAAACTTTGACTTCAATCAACTCGCTTTGGAACAGGTAAGGGGTGTTCAGCCGCTGGCTGGCACTGATGCATTCAAGAGCTGTTCGCACGCACGTCAGGGGTGCGTGTCCGATGTTCTTTAGCTTGTGCCTTTTCCCACCTTTGCACCAGACAGATGTGCCTTTCTCACCCCTGTGTGTGCGCGCGTTATAACCACTTTGCAGCAGACATTGTTCTGTAGAATGACACCCCCGAACAAACCAAATCGCCAGTCTCTGCAGAATGTCCGGGGAATCAGCTAAAGACATTCAAACAGTTCCTTCATTTAGCCGGGAGGCGACTAAAACCAGAAGAGTGGGAGGAGGGGGAATATTTACATCCGTTTTTACAAGTTGTAGACGCCTCCAGTTTATAATCAATTTAACACTCGGAGCGCAGAGCAACGGTAAGGGGAAGATTTGACTTTTATTGCTGTTATTAATTTGCTCTGCTGCTAACGATTTATTATGTTGCTATAGTTGGCAAGTTCCATTAATCCCTGTCTAGGACTATTCCAACGCGTTAAATCATTTCCTCAAAGGAGCTGGCTGCAGACAGCATCTTTGCTGTCCCTTTAAATATTTGTATAGGCTGCCTCCTCCCATCAGGGCTCAAGAGCTTGGAAGATCGGGAAGATTGTCAAGGGGTCCGAACCAGGGCTGGGTCTATAACTCAGCGCTCCGCCCTTTGGGGACACCTGTGTCTTTGTGGATGGGTTTGTAACAGACGAATCCGCCTCCAAGTGGTGGCAGCCCCAGAGGTGGCTGCACTAACCCCACCGGGGCGAAGAGGAAAGGCTGGCACCAGGGGCGGGTTCTGGACTCAAGTGGAAGATCCAGCCTCGGTGGCAAACTCTTTCCCAAGGACTCGGGGCACGCGGGAGTTTGCCCGGCTCCTGAGCAATTCCAGGCTTTCCGCGCGCAGCGGACACTGCCATTCACCGCAGCTCGTACCTAAGTCCAGTTACTTTCAGCACAGCTGGAGCGCAATAACTTTTTATTCACAGCAGAAACTCAACTAGGGTGTTCCCCTCCCCCAGCAGCAGCGCAAAGCCTACGCTTCATCTCCTGCTTTCCGCGGTTACCCGTTGCTGTTGCGATAGCCTCCCTCGGGATCGCCTAGAAAGAAACTGAGGCAGGAGGGTGAGAACCGAGAAGGGATGGCCGCAGAAGCCAATGGATGGAAAGGGGATTAGCCAGGGGCATGGCCAGAAAGGCTCCAGCTGCCCAGCCAGGCAGGGCGGGGAGGGGGACGGAGATGGGAAGGGGCAGAGGAAGAAGGAAACAGGATAATGCCGGCTGCGAGCAAAGCGAAAGCTAAAGGTAACCGCTGGCTTGGGAGAGCAGCGAGAGATCCGGGCTCCAGGGGCTCCGGGCCGCGCCGCGCAGAGAGAACGGGCTGATCGGCGGGAGCGGCCCTCCGGCCTGTAACCCGGAGCGGTCACCCGCTCCCCCTTCCAATGCCCCCTGCGGGAGCCCGCACCCCTCATCCGCACCGCCCCTGCCCGGGAGCCCAGCCCAGCACGCAGCCCGAGGCACCGAGCTCTCAGCCCTGCGCTGTCCAAGGGATTGAGGCGTTGGTGAGGAGACCTCCCAATGCCTCCTCTGCGTGAGTAGGACAGGACCTGCCCCGCCGCGCCTACCCCTGGCCAATATTCCCGCTATCGCTCGCTCTCGGGCAGCGGCAAATTTGCTGCTTGCCCCGCTGCCCTCCCCAGCCCAGCGGCGGCTGCACCCCAGTAGCGCTGGGCAGTTTGTCGTGATCCCACTCAACACTGCCAGAGGGGAAGGTTAGATGCTGGGTTCACACTAGTAGCTCTGATTCCGTCTGGGGTAGGTATTCCACCCACGGGCTATAGCCCTCGAAGTCTTCTTTCCCCTCCTCAGCTGACTTCGCGGATCCTTGAGTTGTTCATCTGGCATACCCTGGGCCTGGTTAGCACGCTAGAAAACAGGCCCGAGGGGTGCTGAGGGTCTCTCACGAAAGTGCTGAAAGCCCTCAATCCCCACTGATGTCATTGGGAGTTGAAGGGGATCAGAACCTTGTAGGAGGCACTTGGCATATTGAGGGATCAGGCCCATTGCTCACTGAGACACACTGCAAAAGATCTACTGGGTCAACTTCATCTACCATGTGACTGGCTGAGACTTAAATTAGTCATTAAATAGCCCTGACTTTAGCGTTTTCAAACATTTAACAAGCCATAGTAACGCACAGCTCAAAGTGCATACTCTTGATACCAAAGAGAATAAGCATGATCGGTTGTGAGCTGTTCATGTAAAACTACCATTACACTATAAATTGCAAGACGTAATTTTAACTGATAGGATTTACCTATCTATTGACTCCAATAATGAGTTGGAAACAAAGCCAAATAAGTGGATTAGATCGGTCACTCTTTCTCTGTTATCTGCTAAAGAAGAGGTCAGTCTTCTCTATGTGGATTTTTGCTGCTGCTTTGAAATATGATGAACACTACATGATTCCTGCAAAGATCAGCATCCTGCTGAAAAACATGGAGTTAACTGAAGGAACAGTGGGAGTGTGCTTGAGCCACTCATAATTAAAGACATGAAAATTAATTTTTGGCCCCAAAACTTTGACAATGTTCCTTTCAATCAGAGCGAGTAACTATAAAGTCATCTTGCTTTTCTCTGGGATTTTCCATCATTGGGGCAACATTCATCTTCTTTGTACAACATTTAAGTGAATTTAAGATTTGTGAGAGATGCTAGATTGACAGGTTTCAGAGTCGCAGCCGTGTTAGTCTGTATCCACAAAAAGAAAAGGAGGACTTGTGGCACCTTAGAGACTAACCAATTTATTTGAGCATGAGCTTTCGTGAGCTACAGCTCACTTCATCGGATGTATTTGAGACTAAAAGTGAGACTCTATCCACAGAAGAGACAAAACAAAAGTAACTACAGTGTCAGCTTTCCCATATTTCTCCAAGTCCTTGTACATAATACATATTGTTTCTTTATATTGTTCTCCATGTCCACTGAAGGAAGGACAAGAAGTAATGGGCTTAATCTGCAGCAAGAGAGTTTTAGTTTAAATATTAGGAAAAACTGTCTAACTCTAAGGATAGTTAAGCTCTGGAACAGGCTTCCAAGGAAGGTTGTGGAATCCCCATCACAGGAGGTTTTTAAGAACAGGTTGGACAAACAACGGTCATGGATGATCTACATTTACTTAGTCCTCCCCAGTGTAGGGGACTGGACTTGGTGACCTGAGGTCCCTTTGAGCCCTACATTTCTATGATTCTATTAACCCCAGGGGCTTTGCCTTTGCTAGATTTTTCCACAGACCAAGAACAAACACGTACTTTGAGATTGCATGACATTTATTTCAAATTAAAGGAAACAATAAGGAAAGAAAGTAAAGTCTGCCTGCGAGAGCACCACGTGTGTGCTTCCTCAGCACAGGCTGTGTCAGTGCCAAAGACAAACTGGCTGCTCTGTCTTTCAACATAGGTTTTTACGAATTTAAAGGCAGTACACAGAGAACTAAGGGATCACAGGTTCACAGCTACATACGCCACAGACTTCAGTGAGCATTACGGAAAGTTTAAATTCTTTTGTTACATTCTTTGTTAAATTCGTTTTGAGTTTATGTTGTTCACTTAATGGTTCATAAATACTTGGCAAGATTTTTGTAGTACTATATAGGGAGCTGAGTGGTACTGTGGGTTAATGCAGCCTTTCACCTCATATCTATGATAAAGCACATCACAGATCAAAAAGAGTTTGGTATGTTTCATTCCAGTGCCCTGTGGACCATTTTTTTAAAGCTATCTCACAATATGGCACAAGTGTCAGTTTGTCCAGCAAAGGCTCTGGACTGGAATCACAGAAGGGGATTCAAATGACACTTTTTTGGCAGAGCTGTGCAGACGCCAAAAGACTGGAATAGCAAAGATGACATAGAACCATAGGGATCTTAACAGCTCATCAGGTCCAGCCCCTTGTGCTAAGGCAGGACCAAGTAAACCTAGACCATCCCTGACAGGTGTTTGTCTAACCTGCTCTTAAAAACCTCCAGTGATGGGGATTCCACAGCCTCCCTTGGAAGTCCATTCCAGAGCTTAACTACCCTTAGAGCCAGAAAGTTTTCCCTGCCATCTAACCTAAATTTCCCTTGCATACAGCTGTGTGAGGGAAATAACCCACAGTGCCTTCCACAGCATGCCCAGTTATTCACCCCTCACTTTCATACACAAAAATTCTCCTACCAATTCTTTTAAAACCCCATTGTAGCAATCATACCACTACCTTGCATTTGTACAGTCACAAGTATTTTATAAACATTGAAGCTCTCTATCTACTTGATCAACATCTATTTATTTTACTTGTGGGGGTGGCATCAGTGCTTAGGCGGCTTTGCAAATGCTGGCTGGCAGATATTTAGGTATCCAAGAGACTTAGGTGCCTACAAGGTTTGGCAGCTGCTGAGCAGCAGCTTTGAAAATGTCAGTGACATCTGAACTGTGAGGCAGAGAGGTTTCTAAGTACCTTTAAGCATCTGGGCTTGTCTGCTCACAAAAGTTGGACTACCTTAATGATACCACTATAGCTAAAGCGGCCCAATCCCCTGATGTGGATGCAGCTATACCAATATATCTGCTTATACTAGCATAGTTTATCCCTGAATGGGAAGGAGAACAAGCTATATCAGTATAAGGCAGTGCCACAGATAAAAGAAAGGATGGTCCAATGGTTAGGGCACTCACCTGGGGCTCAGGAGGTTCAATTTCCCGCTCTGCCACAGACTTCCTCTGTAACCTTAGGCAAGTCACTTGACACTTCCTTACCTCACAGGTTTGTTGTGAGGAAAAAAACACATTAAAAGAGTGTGAGGTGCTCTGATATTGTGGTAACAGGGGCCCTGGAAGTACCTTGGACAGAATATACTGGTATAACTGCATCCACAGTAGGGGTTGTACTGGTATAACTATGTCAACAAAAAGTCACACCCCTGACCGACATAGTTATACTAGTACAAAAGCTGGCTGCAGACCAGGCCTTACTCTGAAATGGTGTGACATACTGTGAAGTAAATTAGACTGACGAATTAAAGTGAATCAAAACTGGCAAAAGAGAACCTGTTAAGTGCATGGGATCTTTCTATAGAAATGAATTTGTAGAGAAATGCAACAAATTGAATGACAAAGTAATATTCAAAGGATTCAATTCAGTTTACTTTAGATATTGTAGTTCTGTTTCTCTTCAGTTTTGCATTCTTAAGCTTCAGTGTACGCTTGCACAGGGAACACTATATATTGTGCATATTTTGGTAATAAATAACTGTCACTGACTTGGCTTTAAATCTTTTCTATTTCCAGAACTGAGGTGTGCTGTTCTGTAAGTGCCCCCAAGTGGCTTCAATTTCTGGCCTCAGTAAAAGATCTCAAAAGAAATGCAAGGATGCCTGTGCTAGAGAAACTCACACAGAAGGAGAAAGATGCATGCAGCAAAGATGAGACAGTAGGTGGCTGTTTTTGGACAAAAACAAAACAGAGTTGGATTAAAGAAAGATGATTTTTAGTTATTATCAATAGGAGCAGTGTTATCAATGAAACTCAGTGGTAAATACAAACATTATTCCTGACCTCATTTCTTTATTTTTGGAAAACAATGGTCACTTGCAACAGTCTAGTATCAAGACCTTAAACTAGTCTTAGCACTTTTCGTATTCAAAGTACAAATAATTCATCCTCACCCGTCCCCTGTTGCATTTGCATTACTAGGTAGTTATGTATTATTATCCACATCTCAAACAGAGACTAACAACAAAAAAATAGAGCAGATTATTTACAACAAAGTCTGAAATGGCCAGTATTCATTTCATTCTACCACAAGGTAGTACAGGCTGCCTATCAGTTTCTCACATACAACTCATCTGTGAGACAGCTGGGTAAAAATATTAAAAAGTTAATACATTGATTTAGGGAGCTTAGACCAGAAATTCAGATGAGTATGCCCAAAATTAGTTACCTAAATCCATCAAGTGTGAAACTTTTGACCTTAGTAAAGACGTGGAACTAACAGCAATGTTACTTGGACAAAACATGGTGGAACCAGAATATCTGACATCACCAGGACATACAAATTTCTATGCCCATTACCACTGAACTGCTCAAATAAATTCCAAAGGAGGTTGTATGCCTGTATTGTGCACCAAATGGACAAAAATCACTTAATTACTTTTTCACTTATGATGTATATAGAGGCATTACAGGCTCAACTGGCCCTTCATCTTCATCAATTAATTCATCCCATCACATGTTTCATGGGTAAGTAAATATTATCCCCATTTTACAGATGGGGAAATGGAGGCAAAGTGGTGCCTTTCCCTGCAGCATTGAGTGGCAGTGGTAGAGCTGGGATTTGAACTCAGAGTTCCCTGGTTCCCAGTCCTTGGCGCAGAGCACAGCTCTCTCTCACTCACATACTTTCTCTGATAAAGGAACAAACCTGTTAAAAATGAATTTCTAGTACATCAACTAGGGAAAAGCAACCTGAAGACTGCCTGTTTATGAAACAGACAAAAGCCAAAAAAAAAGAATGAATATCTATTAAAAGAACTGATCCACACAAACATCCCATTGTATGCGAAATACTAATGGGTGGGTATGGATGGCTTCACTAGGTGAAAATCAATTTCAGGACTCTGAGGCCGCCGTACACCTCTCTGGGGACTACACTTGTGATTTCCAATAGACTCAAAATTCCTCATATTTTTCCATTCTTCCATGGATCCCAGCTTTGTTTGCCCTATCCACCAGACTTCTCTGCTCTTTTTATTTTTAATGAAAGCTCATATTTGTTTGGCTTAATTCCAATTTATAAAACAAAGTGATAATGTCCCAAAGCAATGCATGGGAACACTAAGGAATGCTGTTTGAGAGCCACCATTGATTCATTATTTTATAGACAACTAACTATGCTCTTCATCAGAGATCTTACACCCAAGTTATCTTGGGTCAACATCATCACTGATCCAACTCCACTGAAGTGACACAGTTACACTCACAATGTTCAAAACCCCAACTGCTACGAGACACTACAAATGTAAAATATACAAGGATCCCATTGGAATTCATTGATACTGCACATGGCATGCAGATTTATTAGAAAGACATAGACAGTAGCTACTAAAGGAATCTCCCCAGGAGAATTAAAGGTGTCCAAAAGGGAAGTTTTCTTAAGATGGCTGAAACCTTTTCTAGAGAAAGAGGTCATGTGGTCCTCCATATTTCCCCTTTTAGTCACTGTAGGGAGCCAGGGTGGTTTGCCTCCGAACCAGAGGGTAAAGAGCCACTCTCTCAGCCTGAGTGGGTGGGGCCAGACCCAGCTTACTCCAACCCCCGGAAGGGGAGGAGTGGAACAGGAAGTACAAAGGGCGGGGCCCTTAGCCCAGTCAGGGCACACCAAGGAGGGAGGGAGGCACAGGCTGCTGGCTGTTCCCTCCAGACCCTGCTGCTGAGCCAGGGGAGGCCCTGGGCCAGGAGAAACTTGACCTGGAGGAAGGACTGGGGCTACCAGGACTGCCAGCTGCCTAGTACCTGGAGGAGCCAGGCAGTAACCCGGGCCAGCATGAGCCTGAGGGTGGGAGCTGGAGCTGCCAGCAGCGGAATACCCTGATGGGCTGGGGGGACCAGAGGGACCCGCTCGAGAGATCTGGTAGGAAGTAGCCCAGGGGCAGAACTGTACAGTGCGGCGGGTCTATTTGGTCAGCATGTTGCAGATGGCTCCCCGCTGACCCAGTGGCGGGACCCTTTCCTCCCGCCACTGTCAGGGCCCTGGGCTGGAACGCAGTGGAGTTGGGTGGGCCTGTGTTCCCCTACCCCGGCCAACCCGCCTTGGGTAGCAGAATCCTGACAACGCTACAGACTCTTGCCAGCGCTCCCCCTGCCTGAGGGGCACGCTACAGACTTGCCAGCGCTCCCCCTGCCTGAGGGGCACGCTACAGACTTGCCGGCGCTCCCCCTGCCTGAGGGGTGTGCCACTGACTCTAGCCGGCACACCTCCCTCCGCTAATTCCCTAGAGACAGAAAGGTGTGATCAAGGCCGGCCGGTGAGGCAGTAGCTCCCCACTGCCCCCCCAGCGGCTCGGTGGACCAACTGAAACCTGTCACAGTCACCCTCAAAAAAAGCTCTGTGCATCTATCCCTGAAACTCAATCTGCATGTTGAGAGCAGCACCAACTAATTCCAAAGGAATCTCTGCATATTTTCAGTTAAACTTGGTAAGATTCCAGCATCATCAGGAAGGCTTCCCTTAAGGAGAACTTTAACTCTTCCTGGGAGATTTCTTTAAGTGTTGCCTTCATCTGGCTCATCTTTCTAATACAAAGAAGAAAAAACATTTTCATGCTATTTCTATAGCAGTTAATGCAAAAAAATGTGTGACAGAAATGACATTTGGGCAAAGCTAGGAATATGGGCTTGGTCTCAGATAATAACATCTCAAAACCAAGATCCAATCCGAACCTATATATTCCTCTAAAATATTCACATCATCTGTTGTAACTCACCCAAAACTAAAAAAATACTACGAATGCATAACATTATTTACCGCTCCATCTTTTTATGATTAGACACTGCCCAAGCTTCCAGTGCCTCCACTGCAACAGACCTTGCACATGTACCTACAATGCGTGAAACACTTGATTCCAGATGAGCAATTTAGGAAGACCAAGGCCATAGTAGAACAATTTGGAGTTGCAGGAGGCCTAGGAGAATCCTTACAGCAAAAACTTCTAGATAGAAGGGAGAAGATTGGAAACTGGGTAAGTAAATGCACATTAGAAAAAGAATGGCTTGTGTGAGAGGCTGCTCATTTATAAGTTATTCGTGATTACCTACATGAGTTACATGAAAAACCTTTATATAAGGTTGCTATAAATCATGTCAACTTTTTGGATCAAGTCCAGGAGTCAGACTAGATTAAAACGTGCTGGTGCTTCTACTCAGTTTCTACCCACATTCCCAGAAGGGTAGACTGGAATGTTTCTAAAATGACTAGCCACTGATATTGTTAAAAATGTAGATATTTACAATGCCATCATTAGACTTCAGGGTCAACAACTCAGTAGTATGGATGAGGGCAGTTCACATCTCTCAGAGCCATCGTTTTAAGCTATTTGCACACTCAGGCAGAGAGTGCTACATCACGTCCCTTTTGGAAGGCTTTCTGGGGAGCCTTGGGCGCTAGAAATTTTTTATTTTAAAAAAAGAGTTTGAATTCTGCACAAACTGATAGGACTACAAGGAATGTGGGCATGGTGTACTATTGGGTACCAATTCCATGTGATCTCTGATCAAATCAAATTATTCTGGGCGGTATACATGGGGAACATGGTTTCAAAGAAGACTATTATTTTTCTTTCTGTATAATATGTCAAAAGATTTGCCTAAAATCCTTCTTTGCAGAAAAAAAAAATGTATGCGCCATGCTGAAGACCTCAATCTTTAAACAATCAAGGTTTCTGCTCCCTAAAGCAAGAAAAGTTCAATACGTTATGGATAAATTGTGTTTGATATTTGCAGACAGTTACAGGCCATCCATTCTAAAGCTGTCTCTTCTGGCCAATCTGAAAAATGGCAGTAGTGACAGCATATTGGATAATGAATGAGTGACAGAAATTGTAACTAAACTAGAAAAATGGTATGTATTCAGGTTTATCCATCTCATCTAGGAAGAGGTGGAAAACCTGGCCCCACTAAAGTCAATGGAAGTTTTGCCCTTGACTTCAGTGAGGCCAGAATTTCCCCCCAGCTTTAGTGATATGATCCACAAGAACCTTTGAACAATTAAAGTGTTCCTATATTCAGACCTAGATTGTAATGATGACATGACAGCTGGATTTTAAAAGCCAACGCATTCCAAGTAAATAATTCTCTCCCTGCTATACAGACTATACACAGATATCATCTGCAAGCTGCACTGAATGGTCAAATCTCCTTTTGTTATTCTGATCCTGAAACAATAATTCATCTTCTTGGTTGGAGAAAAAAATACATTTATTAAATAAAAATGTGTTTCTAATAACTATTTAAGGAGAGAGCTGATCATTCAAATAAGAAATGTGACCTGCCTGAAGGGTACAAGAATGATAGATGAGCCACATATAAGGCTTTTCTGAAATATCACAACATCCAGTCTGGCTAGTAAAAGTAATCATTCAATTGTTAAGACAAACTAGAGTTATTTTAATTTGGAATTTAACTTCCCAGGAATAAAGCTTTGGCCTCTTTTCCTGAAGACTCCAGGGAATGTGGGGGAAGGAGTTATTTTCAACATCTGTTCCAATAACGTTGAAAAAATCTCAAAGGAAATCTTTTTCAGCAGATGCATAAATTCATAATTAGTTTTGCATAATTTCTCTGTTTATATTTACTGTACTCAAAGTATGTCTGCTAAATTCAGACAGACAACTTGATTTTCCAAACAACTCTCTGTCTTCCAAAATGTGGTGATCAGCAACAGCGTGAAACAGTGGCTGAGGATATGAGAATGTCTTTGTTGTACTTTCAACTTCTGTACACAAATGCTTAGGAGGTCATTACTTGTGCTTGTATGGGCCAAGTACTGATAACTATCACACTCTGACATGCCAGCAGTTGATGTGCTTCTCTCCCCATCTCTCAGTGGCATAATCCACCTACAAATTTGTTAAATTAAAAAACAAGCAAACACCCCATGCTGGAACTGCTTTGAAATTTTGACCTTCATATGGTCACATGGACCTAAATTTTCAAATGACTGGTGTTTTAGATGACCCAATTTTGGAGTTCCCCACTTCAAATAGTCCTGATGATCAGATAATGCTAAGTACCATCCCCCTCTTAAAATCAGTCCCTTTGAGGTTTCTCACGTTGGGCATCCAAAAACTCAGGCACCCAGAATCACTAGTCACTTTTGAAAATTTAGGTCCTGATGTTGTTTGTTTTTTAACTACAGTATATTGTCTGTCTAATTTGGGCCCTGATCTTGGAACTGATGGCATGTAAGTGGACTGCTGCATATGCATGAAGCCCCATTGACTATCATAGGGTTCTGTGCAGGCTAAGGATTCCACCCATCCACTATTATCTGCAGGATCAGGGCCTTAGATTATTAAGTTCGCTGGGGCTATGTATACCTCTACATACTGCACAGCAGTAAGTACGCTGAAGGTGCTTGAAAGATAATAAAATTAGCATCTAGGCAATATCAACCGACATTTGCAGCAACTATCTCCACAAGGAAAGCCTACACTGGTTAAATTCTACCCATCCTTGAAAATACAGTTGGGGCCATTAAGAAATAAACACTTACCATTGGTTCTTAAATCTACTTTGTTGTGAACAAATATATAGGTAATAATACAATAAACTTGTTTTTTTTTTTATGGTGTACACTGTAAATTACCATAGATTGAATGATAGGATAATGGATTTGTGGCTGATTTAGAGTGAGCTGAGCCCACTGAGCCCAGACTGAAAATGATCAATGGCCCCATTAATCAAAGCCCACATTTAATGCATAGTGCCACCCCCCCCCACACACACACACTCTTTTACTTGGTTGTAAGATGTTTCCTCCCCTTCCCTTAGGTGTTTAACTACTGGTTGGATGACATGTACCTCAGCAACCGGTTGGCTCTTCCAGTCAATTCCAGCCCTGCAATTATCTTTGCTCGTCAACATTTCAAGGATGTGAATGACCAGCTGAGGTAACGTATTAAAGACCACAGCTTTTGCCTCTGAAAAAAACCCTTTAAATATGCTACTCTGGCAAACAGACAAGTAGCTTGTTTGAACAAATGAGGGTGCCAGTCATTAAACCATTCCCTACTGTACATACTGGCTAGAGGCAGCTTCTAGTTTCACTCACGCAGAAACCTTAAGTTAAGAATTATACTTTTTAATAGAAAATTTTGCCATCACATTTATCATTTTAGACAAAATATACTAGTGGAAATTTTAAAACTAGGGATATTTGTGAAGCATCTTAAACTGCTCATCAGATACTTTCCCAAATCAGAGCTCTTTGCTGGGAAAAGAAATCCTGACTCCATGCGTGCTGTTTAGACTGGAACAGTCTCCAATATGCTACAGTTACAACTCAGCAAGCTGTAGCAGAGCCCTACATGTCAGCCACCCTAATCGGAGGTCTTTGCGTCATGCAGGAAAAACATTTGTACTCAGTTGAGCATCTCCTGGGGACTGATGAGTAGGGAAAATATAAGCCCAAAAGTTAGTATACTGCCCCATCTCCCACCATGTACCCCCAGGCTACGCAAGTGCTGGAAAGTGGGCACTAACTTTGCTAGTGTCAAAACAACCTGAAAGTGCAATGGAAACAACTGGGATACCAAGAACTAGTATCAAGAAATCAACACCCTCTGACAATACGATAAAATCCATTCTAAAACAACAGTGAGTGCTTTGTTGTCATTGATCAGATAACAGATTAATGTAAAAGACTGCTGCAGAGCCCAAAGAAAAGAACTTGGAGATACAATATTAAAACATGAGCTTGAAGAAAATCATTTCCAGGGCTCATGAAGAATTAGGCTATGTACAACAGAGCTGACTTGAAGGATAAGAAAACAGGGTTTGGGGGAGAAGGGTCCCTTTAACAGACAGTGTTTTCAAAAATTACTTTATATCAAAAAGTAATTGCATTACTCCTGATTATACCTGCTGCTGCACGTAAAACCAACGAATTCTGGAGCCCTGTACCTTCTAAAATCACCAGTATCCAAAGAACATTTTTGGTGTTGACCATTTCCCTATATGGATATAAGGGTGGCTAAATTTATTTTAAAAAGTGAAAACATAAAGAATAAACAAAGTTTATACAAGCCAAGTACACAATATACATCCCCAGATGCTATTAAAAAAGTAAGCTTCCAATTCTCAACCTTTGCCAAATCTTTTTAAACAGCAATACAAAGCAAAGCTACTTTCAAATATTGCAGATTTCCTCTTTGCTTTTAGTACTTTCCAGCTGCGCATTACTGAAACACTAAATTGCATATGAATTTATGCTATTATAATTTTGAAAAACAGCCAGAACCTTGAAGCTGATCTGTATTATATTAAAATTTTGCATAGATAGAGCACCATGTCTTTTTTTTAAACCTACTCTAAACATTAGAATAAATGTGCTTCCTCTTGTTACTGAATAGATTCACTGTGCACATTCTTTTCTATGAAACTGTTTTGCATTTCTCTAATGCATATGATGTGTAACATGCAAACACTTTTAGCATAGAAGATCCCATTCAGAAACACAGCAAATGGGCGGTCTGAGGAAATAATGTTCCTGCCCTACAGCCATGGAGCAAGAGTATATATTTCAGGACAGCAAGTACTTCAATACACCAGGTAGTATTTAAGTGTTTATATTGCTGAGACTCCTATCAAGGATGCAGCCCCCATCCCGTTCTGTAAACAACTACTTCCAAGTATCCTGTTGTGGTATCCAGTCTAATTTTGTTTAATTGTTAAGTAAGGATCATCATTACATGATTGTAAATTCTGTGGGGCAGGGATTGTCATTTTGTTCTGTGTTTGTATAGCACCTAGTACAATGGGGTCCTGGTCCGTGATTAGGCACTATGCTCATAAAAATACATAACACTAACTATATACACTAGTCAACAAATTCTTCCTTTGCATGTGTATTTTAAAATTAATCATAGCTGTTGTTTTTTTCTGTTCTTGCCAAGAGACTAGACTCTGTTATGCTGTAGAGCAGAGGTTCTCAAACTGTGGTCCGTGGACCACCAGTGGTCCGTGAGCTCCATTCAGGTGGTCCGTGAAAAGTTCTCTCTGAAGTGCATGCCTGGATGGCCACACACGAGAGAATAAAGGGCTATCCACCTAATTAATGGAGTTGCGCAGGCAGGGCTCCACTAATTAGGTGCCTGGACCCCGGAGAAGACACACATGTAAGGAGAGGTGGTGGACTTGGGGGGAATAAGGGGTAGGTGGGAGGAGGCAGTGGGATGAGAAGAGGGGATGGGGGGAATCTGGGATGTGCAGGGCTGTGGGGGCCAGAGAAAGAGGCAACTTTTCCCAGCTCCAGGGCTGCAGCTGCTGGGGAGAGACGGCCCTCCTTCCCAGCCTAAGCTCTGTGGCTGCTGTGGCGGGGGAGAGAATAGGGGCTTCTGTGGTGTGGGAGGCAGGGAGAGACCCCCACTCCTTCCCAGCCCCAGCTCGGGGGCTGCCATGGTGGGGGGAGAGAGGGCACATCCATCACATTCGAAAGATGAGACTACTGATATTAAAATATGAGTTGTGTGCTTTTATCTGTAGAACCAAAAAAAATTAATTATTATTAATTTTTTTATATAGCGCTTTTATCTAAAGCGCATTACAATAGTTAGCTAATGGTACAAAATAACATTTGGAAAGATCATTAAGTGGTCCGCCGAGACTCAGCAATTTTCAAGTGATCTGCGGAAAAAAAAGTTTGCGAACCACTGCTGTAGAGTATAATTGATCTTTATGGGCCTTCTTGGGCTCAGGCTGAACTCCCAGAAATGGCACCAAGTTGCTGCATGGCAAAAGAGTGAGGTTATGTCTATTTTTCACTTACAGGTTTGCTGCTAATCTCATTTCAGGAGTGCTGGATTATAAAGCTTTACTGGATGCGTAAGTATTTTGGAAATAGAATCACTGACTGACTACAAATATAAAGAGCTCTGATTAGGAATGCTTGGAGGTGTCCAAAGTCAGGCTACATTAGGCCGTAATTCGTTGGACCAGTCTAATGTTAGGAACTGAAATGGTTCAGGTATGGTAGCTTTGGCAACACCATGGTAGCTTTACATGCTTCTCCTTTATGACTACAATATGAGGTGCCAGTTGAGGATTCTTCATAAGTCATGTCAGTCATCTGTCAGATACACAGTTCAACCTACAGTACAATGTAAAAATCTGACTAATGTGACTGTTTCAGATGTACCTAAGGAGTCCATCCTCTCCAACCACAGATCAATGAGTGGCAGTGTCATAGCAAAAATAACGAGGAATCCTTGTGGCACGTTAGAGACTAACAAATTTTTGGGGGCATAAGCTTTCGTGGGCTATTACCCACTTCATTAAATGCATGGAGTGAAAAATACACTAGGTAGGTATAAATATACACCACATGAAAAGATGGGAGTTGCCTTACCAAGTGGGAGTCAGTGCTAACAAGGCCAATTCAATCAGGGTGGATGTGGCCCATTCCCAACAGTTGACAAGAAGGTGTGTGTATCAACAGAGGGAACCAGCCACTCCCAGTCTTTATTCAGGCCTAATTTGATGGTGTCAAGTTTGCAAATTAATTCCAGTTCTAAAGTTTTTTCTTGAAGAATGGCCACTTTTAAGTCTGTTATTGAGAGTCCAGGAAGATGGAAGTGCTTCCCTACCAGTTTTTGAATGTTACAATTCTTGATGTCCGATTTGTGTCCATTTATTCTTTTGCATAGAGACTGTCCGGTTTGGCCAATGTACATGGCAAAGGGGCGTTGCTGGCACATGATGACTATATCACATTGGTAGATGTGCAGGTGAACGAGCCTCTGATGGTGTGGCTGATGTGGTTAGGTCCTATGATGGTGTCCCTTGAATAGATATGCAGACAGAGTTGGCAACGGGGTTTGTTGCAGGGATTGGTTCCTGGGTTAATGTTTCTGTTGTGTGGTGTGTCATAGCAAAGTTTGCTAACAGCCCTATGTATTAACTTGAGAACCACCAGTTTAGTAAACTCCCTCACAAGTATCTCTACAATTTTCCATATTTCTGATATTCACCTCTCCACCGTGGTTAAATTTGTTAAGACATCCCCTATCCCATCCCAAAATAATAAACCCCACGAGAGGAAGCGTAATCACACCAGGTTCTACTGCTGGTATTTAACCAAAAAAGTTGTAATCCATTTTTCCTGTTGTAAATGTAGGAAAATATCTCCAGCAGTCCTTGAGAACTATTAATAACAGTATTTTACATATATAGCACCATTCATCCAAAAGAATTTTACAAACTACATTCCAGCAGTACCACTGAAATGCATCCACCCAAAGAATGGAATGTGGCAGACAACCAAGGCACAGTACACTGCACCATAATGGAGGAAGGGAACATTTTCAATCATGGGATAATGAGAGCTCCCTTGTCACGCATCCTGACCAGCATTCTTTTGGGCCAGGGAAAGACAAAGTCGATATTTAGCCATCTGAGGTCTCACCTAGGGTGACCAGATAGAAAGTGTGAAAAATCGGGGGGAAGGGGGTGGGAGGAGGCAATAGGTGCCTATATAAGAAAAAGCCCCAAATATGGGGACTGTCCCTATAAAATCGGGATATATGGTCACCCTAGTCTCACCACCTGTGAATTGACTATAAGAAAAGAAATTGGAAGGAGTTGTTGGATTTTTTTACTTCAAAATCTAAAACTATTCAAAAACTTATCACACTTGATTGCTCAGGAACATGTGCTTTTGTCTAAGATAAACTATAGAACTGTATGCCATATCTGCATATCTAAAAATACAGATGTTGATATGTTATAAACTACTTTGTCGCTACATCTTTACATGACAGTATGGTATGCATCTGTGAAGAGCTAGGAATACATATTGCTTAGCAAAGATGTAAAATTTTATCTTTAATATTTTGACCTGGGTTCCTTGATCTAAAGAAGACTTGTCACAGTATTCCTTGCCTTTCTTTAATAATTCTTTACTCCTTTGTCTATGAAGTTCTACTGTTGTTGCTTACCTTTGGGTACCAACACTAATATTTCCTCATTATAACTATTAATATTCCAATATCCATTGTTGCCCTTTTACAGCCATAGGATAATCAATGTAATCCGAGCATCTTTTGAATCACTACATAGGCAAACACAATAGGCACAAAACTAGTATGCAAAAGCAGTGCATAACTTTCCGAAGTACAGTAAAAACTTTATTATTTGGCATGTTGGTGGAATGGTGGTGCCGGTTAGTCAAAAGTTCCAGTTAAGTAAGAGTTATACTTATCAATGGAATACCAATTTTCAAAGAAATAGAATACAAAAAATGAATAAAATATAAAATAGTATACAGGTACTGTACTCACCAATCCAGTAGTAGTAGTGCACTGCAGAGTGATTGGTTTCTTGAAGCACTTAGGTGTATACAGCTAAAGTTTTCTATACAGTAGGTTATCTTATGACACTATGATATCTTATATCACTATGGGCTGCGCATGGCGGACACCCAGATCACTAAAAATAAACTTAACACTAAAACTATACTGAACATAATTTAATCTTTGATGATTCAGAAGGCACTTCAGGATCTTGCAGTGCTTTGGCGTCATCATTATAAACATCAATTATCATTGTAGATGTAAAAGGTGTAGGAGATTGCGTTGAATCTTTAATGACCCTCTGACATATCCTTGAAGCTGGTGTTTTGAATAAATCTCTGGTATCGGCTTGCTTACTTGTCTTCCACCTCTTTTGCATAAAAGTAGAGTGTAGAATATGCAGTTGCATAACCTCCTGGGCAGTATACTAGTCCCAGTTACTAGATTGAAGATTTGTATTGGGAAATATCAGAAATGCTGGTTAATAGAGCTTTCTGGTTGATAAAGTGCCGGATAACACAGCTTTTACTTGTATGTAGTTTTAGCTATGTAGATAGCCCAGTTGCCTGGGTAAAGTATTTCAAACAAAGCCTAACTTAGACAGACAAAAATATTATAACACAAGAACATAGCTTAAGGTATTAAATCAGTGCAAGTTTTGTTGTCGGAACAATATAGTATAATGTCCCCTTCCTAAAATCATTATAATCACAGGCTTTCTTATCATCATTGTTATTATATACTATTCTTGTAAAAATAGGCCCAAAATGAGATTGGGAATCCATTGGGCTTTGCACTACATCAGAATATAAGAGACTTTCTCTGGCCCAAAGAGCTGACAATCTAAATAGACAAGACAAAGGTGGAGGGTGGAAAGAAATGAAGTATTATTATCCCCATTTTACAGATGAGGACCTGAGACACAGAGAGATTAAGTGACTTTTCCAAGGAAGTAAGTCATACAGAAAGTCTATGGCAGACCTGGGAATTAGACAACTTTCTCCTGGTCTAGTATCTTAACCACAATACCAGCAATTTCCCTGTGGCCCCTGCCTACAATGACAACTATTTTAGTTTCTACTGCATTGACAGTATAATGTCCTACAATCTGTAATCAGAAAAGAAAATATTCCACAGAAAAGTAACCAGATTTTGTTCTGGTCACTAAAGAGGCACTTTAGTGTGTATTGTTGCCAGACTCCTAGCAATTAAAAAGGATCCAGATGCTAAATTTCAGCCTTTACTTCCCCCATGTGTCACACTAAGGACCAAAGTTGTTTGGTAGTGTCAGATTAACTCCTCACAGTCAAGATGATTCCCCTCCATCCTGCACATTCTACTGATTTCCTGAGGTGGAGATGTTTCCCTTAAACATTCTAAGCAACTCTAGCCTGGACTTCCAGTACAAACCAAACATGGCCTTCTAGGGCAGAGATGGGCAAACTACGGCCCACAGGCCACATCCAGCCCGCGGGCCCATCCTGCCCGGCCCCTGAGCTCCTGGCCCGGGAGGCCAGCCCCCAGCCCCTCCTCTGCTGTTCCCCCTCCCCCGCAGCCTCAGCTCACTGTGCCACTGGCACGATGCTCTGGGTGGCGGGGTTCCAAGCTCCTGGAGCGGGGCGGCGCAGCTGCAGAGCCCGGCCTGACCCGGTGCTCCGTGCTGCGCGGTGTGTGGCTGGCTCCAGCCGGGCAGTACAGCTGTAGCGCCGCCAGCCACAGGTACTCCTGGCAGCACGGTAAGGGGGCAGGGAGGGCTGGATAGAGGGCAGGGGTGTTCAGGGTGGTGGTCAGGGGGTGGGGGTGTGGATGGGGTCGGGCCGGCCAGAGGACGGGGCACAGGGGGGTTAAATAGGGGCAAGGGTCCTGGGGGGGGGCAGTTAGGAAGAAGGGGGGGTTGGATGAGGCGGCGGGGGGCAGTCAGAGGCGGGGGTACTGGGAGCAGTCAAGGGACAGGGAGTGGATGAGGCAGGGGTGCATCAGGGGGCAAGAAGCAGGGAGGGGCAGATGGGGGGGGGAGCCGGGCCACACCTGGCTGTTTGCCTCCCCTAACCGGCCCTCCATACAATTTCCAAAACCCGATGCGGCCCTCAGGCCAAAAAGTTTGCCCATCCGTGTTCTAGGGTGCATGTCAACTTCAGATGTTCAGCTGACTTTCATTTATTCTACAGAGTTTTGAGGGTCCTTTCTAAGCAAGCTCCCTACTCCTATCACAGGACTCTTGGGGGTCCTTTTTTTTTGTTTTGTTTTTGGATGGGCAGGGGCTACATATGTGAAAGATTTTATACTGGATGAGGAAAAGTGCAAGTGTACTGTATATTCACAGATGATGAATATATGTTGCAGTCACTGATTTGCATGCTCTGCTATTGTTTGAGTCTCCAACACATATTCATTGAATGCAAATACAATTGCTTAATGAATATGCATGAATCTGCCAGGAATGATGTATTTAACTTTGGTATGGGAATTCATCTATTTCCTTACACTGTAATCTTGTTTTTATTATTCCATTTGTATTGTACCTAATCTAATTGTAACAGAACAAAGGACAGATTAGATTTCTTTTCCTTTCTGTGTCTCTCTCTTTCTACTTTTCTCTGGCTTTGTTTCTCTCCCCTCTCTCCAGCAATGCTATACCTGTTGATTTTGCTCGTGGACAGCTGTCTGGTCATCCTCTCTGTATGAAGCAATACTATGGACTCTTTTCTTCCTATCGTCTTCCAGGCCATACCAAAGATACTCTTGTGGCCCAGAAAAGCAGCATAATGCCAGAACCAGAGCACATTATTGTTGCTTGTAACAATCAGGTGAGTAGACATTATGTTTTTAAACCTTTTCCTCTTTCCTTCAGAAATCGGGTATGCATAAATTTGCTTGATAGCAATGTAATAAGATCATTGGTCCAGGATCCCATTGAATATACAATAGATGATGGCACTGGACTCAGTCCTGAAGCCCATACTCAGTTCTTATCAGTGATATGCTGCCAGCAGTTTAACAAGAAGCTCCCATCGTTTTGTTTCCTTCCTAGCCCAGCTTACATTGTGAGTACACTGCTGCAGCGAGGATGGATGTGGGACTAGGGAAAATACTAATTTAGTTTCCACTCAAATAAAAACACTTCTCAAGCAGGGAAGCAACACCACTGGCAAACAAATTTATACAATGTGCATTTGCTGAAATGTTTATATTTTAACCTGAAAACTCTATTGGGTATATTGGCATACCGCATAGTGTTCAGCATGTATAATTTAGAGTGAGGGTGGGAAGAGAAGAGACCTTCTACAGTACCCCTCCCATACAGCATTTGTTTGCAAGTTCCTGACATTTAGTACAATATGGTGCATTCCAAAGGCAAAGATTTTGCTTTTTTAAATGTATTATAAGGAGCAGAGCTGGTCACAAAACAGGATTTCTCTTCCACAGAAAATTCTGACATTTTGAATTGTGTTTTCTTTCTAAATCGAGATGAAAAGCCAAAGTTTCAGAATCATTGGCAATGTCATGAGGAAATTTTCTGGATAGCTTAAGGCAGCATCCTTGGAATCCCTGCCTGCCGGCCTGTGTGGGCCTAACAGAACAACAAGCCAACAGAGTAATAATGGGAGGGCAGAAGATTAAGGAACCTGTGGGTGGTGTGAAGAATGACATGTCTATGGGGAAGGAACTGGCAGTGAAAGTCTATTTGTAGGGGCTGAAGATGGATAATCAGAGGGAAAGAATCTGGTCATCTTTTTTGTGGTGTGGGTTTTTGTTTTGTTTTTGGCAGGAGGGGAAGTTCTGGTAGATCTAGGTCCCAACTGGTCTTAATCTGACCCTGTCAGTTTCTCCATCAAGGTGGTTTGGATTAATCTGGAAAAGCATCCAGACACCTGGCTGTTTATCCATCCACAATAGATCACTTAATCTTCTACAGTTTACTTATTGCTAATGGTCAGCTTTTGAATGCTGGCAAAACTTTAGAGAGCAAGCAGCGTAATTTAGCACATAGTAAATGGGTTATAAAAAGCTCTGTGGGTTCCACATGTAACAGTATTGCATATCCCTATGCTATTTTTAAAAGAGCTGGGACTATGGAAATTATTAACATGCTTCCTGGTTTTAATGGCTCAGGTGTTTTTAAACTTACTCAAACAATGTAAACCTTATTCTGCTCTCACTCCATTGTAAATCAGGAGCCACTCAACTGAAGTCAGTGGAGTTACACTGGTATCAAACCCAAACACAGGTGAGAGCACAGTATCAGGCCCCAGCATGTTAGCACACCACTTCTCTCAGCCACGTAATTCTCATTGTGCAGAGCTGCAGCACCTCCAGGCCATCCCACATTGAGCGAGATGTTTTCTTACAGAGCTCAGTATAATCTGTCTGTGATCCTTCTGACTTTTATCATTTCCCTGCAGTTCTTTGTTTTGGATGTTGTAATTAATTTCCGCCGTCTCAGCGAAGGGGATCTATTCACTCAGTTAAGAAAGATAGTCAAAATGGCAGAGAATGAAGAAGAGAGGCTGCCTCCAATTGGTCTACTGACATCTGATGGAAGAACCGAGTGGGCAGAGGCCAGGACAATCCTCATGAAAGGTTAGCATCGGCAATCCCAACCTTCTCTTCTTCATCCTCATCATCATCATCACTTGTCCTTGATGGGAGGTGATCCTTAAGGCAAATAGATGGCTAAAATCTCAGCCATGTTGTTGAATTCCTCTAGCATGAGGAAGTTCAATTCTTGTATGATTTTGAGCCTTCAGCTGTGTAACTCCAAGGGCAATACCATGTTGCGAGATTTCATCCCATGCTTTGTCTTTCATCTGATAAATTCTGAACATACCATCAGAGTTTGTGATTTGTCTATTTCTTCATGGTCAAACTGTGATAATGAGTACAATGCATCCGTAGGCTTTAGAAAGTGTTGGATAGTCTAGCACTTTATGTTTTACACTGTGTTCAGACTAAAGCAAGGTAAGGGAAATTTTCCTATTTATCTTTCTCTCTGGACAATGTTGGAGTTCATCTTCCTCTCTGAAAAATGCTAAATCATCCCTTTATCTCTGGCTGAGAGATACTAGGAAGAAGAATACTATTTTGTGCTATTACGATTAGAAATGCACCAAAGTTTACCAAACAGCTTGTCATTTCAAAATATTTCCCCAGAGGAGTATACCCATTTCCCTTTTAGATTACTGATAATGGCTTTTCACACAATCCACCCACCCTCAGCCTTCATTACAACTAAACAAGAAAAATGGAATTTAAGCATTAACTTTTCTATAAAAATGCATAGTATAGAAATGATTTTCTGGAGACCTTCTGCCTATAAATTACAGTGTTAAGTATAGATTGGAAAATTCTCTCTCTTTTTTAAAATCAACATTATTGAAGAATAATTAGGCTCATTTCTTGTAGTGTTTTCTTCATATTCAACCTGATTGTCAACTGGTGTGATCAGTGTAACTCCATTGAGTTCAAAGGAAGTTAAGCCCATTTTAATCAGCTAAGGGTCTGGCTCATTGTGTTTTCATCCACTCAGGATCCCCAGGAACATTGCCTTTGTAAGAGGGCTGACTCTGCAGCTCCCTGCAGCTTACCCTCTGTTACAGCAGTAGTATCTGTTCTGTGGATAGAGAATATCTTATCAAGGAAGTGCCAATCTGATACCATTGTCCTGCACTAAAATTGACTTGTGTTTAGGAATGTCATCTTCTGCAATGTGCCAGCTTGTTGGAATGCCCAAAGAGTTAATGTTCTTGGCTCTTCTCAGGGTTCCCTCCCAGCTAACAGAAAAATCCTTTTGTTATGCAGCTGCTCTTTCTCCAGGCACAGAGACAGAACCTGAAGCTCTAATCAGCTTTAAAAAAAACCCTCCCTGTTTTTCAAACAAAGAGAAAAATTTGTCCTTTTAAAATCCTGCTGTGCTTTTGGTTCAAAAATGATCCCACCGCTCTGCCACCATGTCAGGGTTCCCTCCCCACTCTGAACTCTAGGGTACAGATGTGGGGACCCGCAGGAAAGACCCCCCTAAGCTTATTTCTACCAGCTTAGGGTAAAACTTCCCCAAGGCACAAACTTTTTGCCCTTGGGGGGTACGCTGCCACCAACAAGTGATTTGACAAAGAATCAGCGAAAGGACCACTTGGAGTTCCTATTCCCTCAAGCCTTACACCCCATTTCCTGGGGAGGCTTGAAAATAATATCCTTACCAATTGGTTACAAAGTGATCACAGACCCAAACCCCTGGGTCTTAGGATCATAGAGAAATCAGTCAGGCTCTTAAAAGAAACAGAACTTTATTAGAAAGAAAAATGGTAAAAGAAGCACCTCTGTGAAATTAGAATGGAAGATAATCTCACAGGCAGTCAGATTCAAAACATAGAGAATCCCTCTAGGCAAAACCTTAAGTTACAAAAATACACAAAAACAGGAATACACATTCCCTCCAGCACAGCGAATTTCACAAGTCAAAAACAAAAGCAAAATCTAATGCATTTTCTAGCTAGATTACTTTCTAACTTTATAGGAGTTGAATTGCTCGCTTTCTTGATCTGTCCCCGGCCAGAGGCATCACACAGACGGACAAAACCTTTTCCCCCCCACCCAGATTTGAAGGTCTCTTGTCTCCTTATTGGTCATTTTGGTCAGGTGCCAGCCAGGTTACTTGAGCTTCTTAACCCTTTACAGGTAAGAGGATTTTATAGTACTGTATCAGAGCTTTTTAACTCCTTCCCTTTAAATTCTGACAGCTCTGATTTGATTCTTCGATATTCTGATTTTTCTTTCGAGTCAGTTAACTTTGGTTACTCAATGGCTCAATACTTTTGGCTAAGTATTCAGTTGCTTTCATTGTTGAGTCTTGTGTTTGCAGCACCCTTTCACTCTCTGAGCGTCATTCCTCCAAATTCCTGAGCAGCGAGCAACATTTCTCTTGATGTGGTTTGTAAATAATCACTATGTAAACACAGAACTTCCAGTGAATTTCTGAGAGAAATTCAGCAAAGAAAGAGAGGCCAGCTAAGATGACAAATAGGATATCTAGATGGAAAAAGAGTTATTTAAAAGACCAGATTCTGAAAGAAGGCTTCAAACCTCAGAGGTTTCATGCTAATGTTCGTCACAACTGAGTGCTGGAACGTATATGAGCAAAACCAGACTCTGTTTCTGTGTGTGCAATTTTATGTATGCAAACACTTTTCAAGTATTGACACCTACTTGTTCAGGTGAGAGATTGGAGCATCTGTATGTGGAGGCACAGGAAAGGATGTGCAAAACCCAAGACAGACAGATTTTGCACAAGTAAATGTCATGTAGATGTTAGTGCATGTCAAGGCTATGAAAGTTTGGTCCCAAAAATCAAACCTACCTCCTTTATATTTCCCTATTGGATTGGTAGTCAATTAAGACTATCCTTGGGGAAAAAATGGTTTTCCTAATTAAGTTTACCCCAGCATTTGTGTTATTTCCCATTCTACATGCAGGAAATTCTGTAAATACTATGGTGAAATAAATGTTAATTCTTTTTGTCACTAATTGTAACCTGTATCAGCCACCAAAACACGAAGTGCAGGAGTCATTTCAGAATTATTATTAAAAGAGCCCCTCTGCTGAGACAAAATTTCACCAAGCTGCTAAGCTCTTTTTAGATGGAAAAATAGTAATTAAGGACCTGATCCACAGCCCATTGAAATCAACAGAAAGATTCTCATTGGCTTCCATGGGCTTTTGTTCAGGCCTTTATCAAAATATCACAACATTTGGGGGTACAAGTTTACATACAGCAAAATGGTGGCCATTTTTGTATGAACTTGTAGGAAGAGAACATTTTCTTTAAAACATTGCTATTTTTTTTTTTGTTTTCCATAGTTCCTTTAAATCCACTTTTCATTCTGCTTTGCAAATGGTCTGCTCCTTGGATTTCTACTTGCCATACATTTTGAGCCTGTGCTAGAAGGAAATACACATTTTACTTCTGCATGTATGCAAGGGATATAAGTGTACACATTTCATGCCCTCTTATTGCTCCCCTCTCATAGCAAATAGCTTATCCTTTGATCAGAGTATGCTTCTAATGATAAAAAAAAAAGTCTGTCTTGTGTTTACAAAGGATACCAGATTCACAGCACTGGAAACTGAAGTCAACAGATCAGAGACAGCATAAAATATGTCAATATCTTTCTCAAATCCCCAAGCTATCAACCCACGCCACATTCATACCAGTAACCTTGACATAAAAAGTTTTCTATCCTAATACCAATTCTCTGAGTCTGTTGGTCTCATAGATCTCAACGTTCTAAAAACAAATAAAATATCAGCATGGCCATGGCACTCTCATGCTGTTGGAGTTTGGCTAGACTTTCAGGAAACACCTTCATCCTGGTGAGTCAAAGCAGATGGTGAGATATAATAGCATTAAAATATGCTTAGGGGTTGACTTTGGACACCTAGCAGTTTTATTGCCACTAATGCATGGAGATCTGTCGCCGAACTGATGTCACAGGAAAAAAGAATTGAAGGGATATAAAGAGTAATAGTTGGATATAAAAAAATCATAGCTACAGAATTAGTGAATTTCAGCAAAAGAGGAAAGACAAACCGGTCAGCTGAGTTGCTCCAAACATTTGCAGAAAGAGCTAGTATAGCTTATCCTGATTTTGTTATTTTAAAAGCAATTATTCCCATTTTCTGGCAGATAACAGAAACACAGTATTGCCAATCCCAAGCATTAAAAAAAAATGCCAGACCTCAAAAAAAGTCATGAGATTGGCTTAAAAAAACATGAGGTTTTTTTTTTAAAAAATCTTTGCCTTCTGGTTGCTAAGCCTGTAGGGTACCCTTGTACCACTTTTTCAGGCTTTTCTCTGCAACCATGAGGGCAGAAACTTTTTTTTTAAATGAAGCTGAGAGTTTTCAGCTAATCATCTGTTTCCAGGAGCTGTTGCTCTAAGTGATAGTATAATAATACCTGACAGATAGAGCTTTGCATCTCAAAGCATATGACAATCATTAATGCATTTATCCTCACAAACCCCTGTGAAGTAGGGAAGGGCTACTAATATGGTAAGTAATTGCTACAGATGGAGAACTGAGGCATCAGGAACATTTTTACAGTTGTGGAACGGAGGCATAAAGAGGCTAAATTACTTGCCCAAGGCCACAGAGGAAGTGATGGAGCAGGGAATTGAACCCAGGTCTCTCAAGTCCTAGCCTAGTACCCTAACCATATTACAAAGCTTGCAATAAAAACACAAGAGTTGGCAACAAACTCATCTAGGCGCAGGTGATGGTCTACAATGGGAGGTGGGGCAGACTGAGAGTTAGCCAGTGGTAGTTCTTCAGTGGAGGGAGCAAGGGAGCGAAGCAGCAGGAATGGGTTTTCTACACTGGAAAGGGGTATTGTGAGAATAAACATATTAGAGATTGTGAGGCATTCAGATATAATGGGGAAATGGGGGCCATATAAATATGATTCGACAGATAGATACACAAGAAAGAATGGGTATTTAAGAGGGTGAGGGTGCAGAGGAGCTAGCAGAGGAGCTAGAGGGTGACATACTTGGACACTGGTCACCATTATACACACACAGTCATTAACTGTGAGTTCATATCGCAAAGCTAATAAGATTCAGAGGTCTAAATTCAGATCTGGTGTAAGCAAGTGAAAATCTACTAAAGACATTAGAGGTGCAGTCTCACCTACAGTGTGTAAATTAGGCCCCATGACTCCCTTCCCTTCTTTTCCTATTAAAAAAAATAGTTCCTCCAAAAAGATTGATTTACCATCTTAAATGCAATTCTGTATGTTAGGTAAGGGGGTAAAAGGAACAAATTGTTCGTGCAGTTTTTGTTCTCTGCTAGCCCCTTGCTTTCATTCCTTCTAAAAAATTTTCCCCATCCCAAATCACGGTACATGAGTTCTTGTTCAGTTCATTTTCTGCTTACATGATAAACTTGTCAGTGTTTGACTGATTGGTTCTCTGGACATGTTCTGGTTCATTGGTAAGGGCATTTTCCCATTGCTTTGCTGTGTCTAGCATGCGAGTCTCATTTTATTCACTTTAAAAACCTAGGTTATTGCAGCCCTGACTCCATGTGTCAGAGTGAGGATTGCTGGGTTGTAGGCAGCTGCTGTAATAAAACTCATAAGCCTGTGAGGTAACATAAGCGAAACATTGAACACAGAGTAAGCAAACAGGGACGGCCGTTTTGTAATTCGCTATCCAACCAGTTTTTGTTTCCATAGTATTAGGAAGCTTCTGTATACAAATAACATTAATCATTTATATAGCATCTTCCACCTTTAAAGAATGCTAATGGATGTAACAATAATGCACACATAGCACCAGTGACATACAGCCATCCCGGGACACGTCAGAATGGCACGCACTGGGGAAAGAAGAGATGTATGCGTAAGGACACTGGGACAAGACCTACTCTTATCAAAAGTGCCGTGGTAGCTTTAAAGCCAATGCCCAGCAACAAAGAGCTCTATATTTATGGCGTATCATGCATGCTGCAAGGGAACCAATTAAATTTAACAGAAACCACGGCTTGTAATCTAAGATACAGAAATGAGTTCTTCAAGATCATCTTATCTATTCATTTACAATTTTGAGGTTAAAGTCTACGTGTAGGACCACACAGGAATTCTATGAGCCAGACTATGAGTCCTTTACTTGTCCTGGTGAGCAATAGGTCTGCTCCTGTGGGTAAACTGAGGTCAATGAGACTACTCCTGTAACTTGCTTCGCCACAGCAAGCAAGGGGCTCACAACCTGGACCTGTTCATCACTTTAAACCAGTGGATCCCAACTATTTCTTGCTGGAGCTGCCCTTAGATTGAGCTAGTGGAGGAGTGAACCTCTTCACCCAAACTCCCAGAGTAGTTCTTCGCTTCCATTTTCTCTCATGTCCTTTTCTGTTTGTTCTCCTTTCTGTCTCTTGTGTAGCCTTTTCTTCTCTGTGCATTTTCTTCCTCTTTTTCACTGCACGGTGACTGAAGAGATAGTGTAAATGACAACATTACATGAAGCAAGAGAGGGGAAGCTAAGCTGTTCAGAGGGATTTTAAGTCCGTGTATGAAATTGTTTTTTGTTTGATTTTGATAACAACCATTTAATGTCAATCACTGACTAATATACCTTGGAATACAAGCACAGACTTTGTGAAAGATGCCACACTTTTACCTTCTACCTTAAGGGATTAAGAACTAACAATAAACATTTCTGACACTTCCTACTGGCCTTCCCAGGGAAGACTAGACTTTACATTCTTATGTTTGGGAGTTAAAAGCCACACAGAAAATAAAATAAACAAACAAACCATTCATGCCTTTATCCACCACAAAGAAGAAAAAGGGAGCACAAGCCCAACTGTTAAAAAATCCTATGCAAATCACCTTTGAATGTGAGACAGACAGAGACAGACACAGAATAGGGGAGAGAAGCATAGACTGAAAAACAAAATAAGTGCATTTAGTTCAAAGTGTGTCAGAGACCGAAAGGGATGGAAGAGAAGCGGAGCATGGATTACACAAAGTGTTCATGAAACAAACCCCACAACCTTAATTTCATATTTTTCCATTTTCAAATTATAATAATACCTAGCTCTTATCTGGCATTTTTTTTTCAGTAAATCTCAAAGTGGTTTACAAAAAGGGATAAGTATAATTATCCCTATTTTATAGATGGGGAAAGTGAGGCCCCGGGCAGTGATGTGACTTGCCTAAGGTCCCCAAGCATGCCAGAATTGGGACCAAAACCCAGGTCTCCCATTTGCCAGTCCAGGGCTCTGTCCTCTAGACAGTGATTTGAGACCAACTTAGCATTCAGCTGTAGAGTTATCTTCTTTATTGACATGAAGCTGGCAAAGTTGGAGACTCTTTTTGGTTTGTTTTTTTACAAGAAACTTTGAGTTTACTGACTAGGCAGATTTTCTTCAATGCTCCCAAGTTGAGAATTTTCAGGCTAAATGAGAGAACAAATAAATGTTTCTTTGTTCCAAAAGGATTTTTACTGTGAAAACTACTTAATGAAAGGGGGTGACGCTGAAGAGATCCAGTTATTTCATCGTGGAATGTTTGTCAAGCCACATCTCAGAGGTCACATCTGCTTTGATAAAATCTAGTTGCACATGTCCCCCCTGGAACTTTTGTCAAGCAATAGCCCAGTGTTTTATTACACACGAGACTTGGAGTGAAGAAGCCCAAAATTGAAATTCTCACAATATGGGCCTAAATATTTCTTATGAAAAGCAATGTGATGGGAATAAAGCTAACAGATGTCATTTTACTGCCCAAATATGATGTGATGAAAAAGTCCATAGTGAAGTGAAGTGGACCTGAGTTCCTACATGGTTACTTCAGGAGAACCAAAGGCCTGACTTGCCCCATGAGCTATGGTAAGGTGTGTAATTTTTGGAGACTGATACTATTGAACTACTGTAAAAGAAAGACAGTTATACTGCAAAATTAACACAAAAGACTGAATTCTTTGGAGTAGGAATTGTCCTCCTACTCTATACCTCTGATCCTTCAATGAGCTCTGATGGCAATAGGGCTGTGCAGGACAGAGGAGCCCTTCTGCCTGGAGCTCATTGCAGGATTATGGTCTATAGTTGCACACCACTTCGTTCTATGGGGCCCTCTAGGTGCTATTGTAATGCAAATAATTAGATGCAGTTGTAAATGTGTCAATGTTTTATCCGCAGACTCTACTAACCGAGACTCCCTGGATATGATTGAACGGTGTATATGCCTGGTGTGTCTGGATGGCCCAAGTGGGGTGGAACTCAACGATACAAATATGGCTTTGCAACTTCTGCATGGGGGAGGCTATAATAAAAATGGTGCCAATCGCTGGTATGACAAACCCATGCAGGTAAAATCTTACTGTACTCTGACATGTAATTGTGCTCTGATACACACTAACCATGGCATACTCAAGTCTCATGTGTCAGGGCTGATCACCGCAGGGGTCTGGATGGATACCCATCTGCATGCCAGAGTAGGCCAAGTACATCACAGAGGGTTTTCATTTCCTCTGGAGTATCAGGCATAGACCACGAGCAAAGGCAGGATAGTCAGACGGGGAATCAGCAGAGTCGGGGGGGGTGAGGGGGGTCCTAGCAGCGTGTCAAGCCAGAGACTGGGAAGCACTGGCACTGAGACCAGAATGGCTTCCTGTCCATGAGCGATGGCAGACAGGGGAAGCAAGTCCTACTTGGGGAACAGGAAGTGTTGTGGTGTATAGTGTGTCCTTTTTAACACTTAATCACTTGCAGAATTCATAATGCTACTCTTTACCCATGCAGCTGAGACGATATCTGTCTCGTCTACATTCCAGAAATGTCTTTACCCCAGACTAAAAGAAAGAAAGGTTGAATTAGGAAATCTAGATCAAGAAAAAGGATGAGAGCAGCTGATATTTCCTCTTCTTTCTAAGTCCTTCACTTTAACCTCAAGCTCTCCCAACTCTGGCCCTAGTGGCCCTCTGGAGGGAGCAGGTTCCAGACATGTGCAAATACCACAGCAGAGAAAGAACAATGCCCTCCACTATGTTGTTGCCATCAGCATACTTGCTGTTTCTTATCCGAAGCACAGTGCATTCAGTTCATTATCCTATGCTTATTATTTATGCTATGGCATTTCCCTTGCTAGTTTGTTGTGGGAAGAGATGGAGTCTGTGGCACTGTGTGTGAACACTCCCCTTTCGATGGGATCGTCCTGGTACAGTGCACCGAACATTTGCTCAAGCACATGTGAGTCCTCTTTCATTTTTAACATAACAGGACAGCATCCTGGGTTTTTTTGCTCAAATGCATTAATTGGGCCTTTAAGTGTTAAAAGAAATGAATGTGCCTGAAAACAAAAAATGCGGTATCTGCTCTAAACATACTGGGATCCTCTTTCAGAAATTCACCCCTATGGCTTTAGCCCCACTTGAACTCTATTTTGAAACCCACAGTGAAATCACGTTTCCCTCCCCCCCGCCCCCGCCCCGAACAACTTCACACTCTTGATTATGGTTCTTTATAACTGGAATCGCAGTTTGCGCATTAGAAAGGATTGAAACAATTTAGGACTTTCATTTTCCTCCACTTTTGTTTAATGGACCAAATCCTAGTTGCCTTTTTTCAGTGGGAGTTTCACCCTTGGCTTTGCCCCAACAAGCGGAAACAGACCCAAATAAAAACCATGTGTCTAAAGACAACTCAAACTGATCAGCTCTTTGGATTTACTCTTGCTTTACACTGGTATAAGTGACATCAAAATTAGGCCCATTGCATTTGTGTGTTTTTCCCAGCAAAACAGAACATCCGTAATATAAGAGCTTACTCTGGTTTCTCTACGTCAGGAACTAATGATTTACCAAGAAAACGGTTATCACATCATTCGTAAGGAATAGGTTATTACCATGTTCCTTTTGTATTTTCTTTGACGTGTTTACAGGAAGGAAAGCTCTAAGAAATTAGTCAGAGCTGATTCAGTGAGTGAGCTTCCTACTCCAAGGAGATTGAGATGGAAATGCTCTCCAGAAATTCAGGGACACTTAGCATCATCAGCAGAAAAACTTCAAAGGTACGGCAGATTCTTGGACTTTTCTGAACTGCTTCAAGTTGTGAGCCACCTAACAAACAACTAATTTATTATACAGCTCAATCCCACCCAGTGCTGATCATCCTCAACTCCCATGAAAGCAAAAGGTGCTCAGTGCCTCACAGGATCAGGCTGTATGGTTAATACAATGCACTAGGAACTGCACTATCATTCCATTCCATTCCATTCATCTAAATATAGGACAAGTTAATGAAACTACAAATACCACTGGAAATAAATTTGATACAGCATTCATTATTTACATAAAATGCGAACAATGGCCTCTATTTGTACAGGTATATGATTTGATCTGACCCATACATAGCCAAGCCTGTGTGGGAAATGTATTTAGGGGAGTTGTAAACAACTGGTTTGAATAGACAAGCATTTAATTTGCTTGTATCTACATTGTTACTACAAAGGCCAGTTCTTTGGAGCTGGATTTTCTAGATCACAGTGGATATGCGCGGAATTTTTCACGGTGACTTTGAATGACAAAAATGTTTTTTGAGAGATTTAAGCTTATTGTCTAAGTTTCATCAGAAAATTAACAATGTACACATGACCAATTTTAAATCTTGGCTTATTGTGATCCCGTTATATAAGGCAGCAATGGTACAAAGTGTTTAAAATCTAAGATCTAATACGAGAGGCATTAGCTCATTTCAGATACCAAAAATAAAATAAAAAATGTTTTGTTTCTAAATAAACAAAAGGTGACATTTCTTTGAAATGGGAGTTCATAATAAAATCAGGGCCTGCATTAGACTTTTAATCTATCCATTATTTAAACACAAGTGCTTCACTGATATTTAATCTAGAACAAAGAAGAGCATGTTTATCCTTCAGGAGCAGAATTGCTGGCGGGGGGAGTGTTTAACTCAAATAAGCACAACTACATGAGTGTCACAGCTCATAAGCAGTGCTGAAGATTAAAGTTGCATGTAGACTAGTGCATGATTAGAGATTGTTAGTTGAGAACAATTTACTGGTTGCCAAGTGCCAGACATTAGACTGAAAATGTCTATAGATGCTAGTTGAGATATGTGGTAAACAGTACGTGGGGAAAATGTTTTCTAAATATTGCTTGCAAACCACGTTATATGGGAATCTTGCATTTTCCTCTACAACAAACGCCCCTGCTTGTTTTCTAGGATAGTAAACAATCTAGATTTTATTGCTTATACATTTGAAAACTATGGAAAAGAGTTTATCAAGAAACAAAAGACTAGCCCAGATGCCTACATTCAAGTTGCACTTCAGCTGGCATTTTACAGGTATGTTTATCAACTCATGGGAATAATATATTGTGAGCACAGATTTACAATTAATCAGGAAAACAAAGGGCCCAGTCCTGCACCCAGACAAACTCTCATTGGCATAAAAGGTTAGGCCTGCTGGATGGGGTCCTTAAAAAACAGGATGGGAACCCATAATAGTAGTCACTTTGTTCTGACATATAGCACCCTCTCATAGGGCATATGTTTGTTTTACAATTATAATGGAACTATTTAAATCAGCTAGAAAAGTAAGCAAAACATCCACAGTTACTGCAAAGTTACAGGGCCTATAGCTTAAAAAGCTGAAGGGAAGCAAATTGTCATCTGCAGATAAATCAGAGAATGGTTACAGCCTCTTGTCTGTCTATTATAATCCAAGTTGTAGCTCAGATTCAGCATATAAAATATAATGAAAACATACCCAGTTCTGGACTTCTCTGATAATGGTGTGTAATTACGGGACACAATCACGTCACCCAAAAGCTTGAAATGAGTAAACACATGACTGAGTAGACTCTTTAGCATCAAGGAAGTCCTGGGGAAAGAGTACAACCTGTCTAAATAGGCATAGGCAGGCTGCAGCTGCTAATATATAAACAAATGATACAGACCCTGGCAGGAATAGTAGACCCAGGTGCCACTCCCTTTCCTATATGGGATTTGGGCCCAGAGGTTCTGTGCAGTGCACACCAACATCACTTCTATTTTATTTTTCTGTGCAAGGAATCAATGACTGACTGAGCCATAGTTAAAACCCATGAGCACAATCTATTCCCCTTCCATCCCCTTGCCTCTCCACTCTACCGCTCCCTCTCTCCTTATTCATCCCATACCCCACATTCATTATCACCTCGTCTCCACCACTTAACAGTCCGTATTCACTCTCTGTCTCTCTCACCCTCACTCTCTGTTTCACTTTGCCTGCCCTCTCTCCCACCCCTTCCTCTCCCGTCCCATACAACCTCCCCTCCACTTTCACTGGGGTGGGAGGGTGGAGAGCTTGGAGGATAGGCATTGAATGTGGTGGGAGCTGCCCACCCCATTCATAGCACCAGAAGTGGCCAAGGGAAAGAGAAGCCCTAGACCTCTGTTGGAAACCAATTCCCCTGTGCAGTAAGCACCTACCTGTGCGTTGCATCTGCCAGTAGAGGGTGCAGCTTGAAGCACACTGCACAACCTGCCATAATGCCGTCAGTTCCCCATCCACAGGGAAAAACAGAGACCTTCTGAAGATATCTCAGCAGCATATAGGATTCAAGCTCCACTGCAGGGTAGTAGTTACTGTTTATTTCCCCCTGAACAGCTGACATAAGCTGTTGTTGGGCTTGCCCCAAGCAAAATGGGCACCCCAGGGTTTGACCTTGCTTGCTCTTTTTACTATACTAATCTCCATGGCATTTCCATTGTCACAGGCTCGCTTATGGACTGTCAGGACAATGAATGTTCCAGGGTAGTGACCACTTGTGGGGTTTCTTACAGTAGACCCATTACACCAACAATCCCTAAACTTATCAAATTAAAATCTAAAATGGTCTTTCACGTGACCAGATGCCAAGCTTGTTTCACGCACTTTGTTAACTGAAATCCAATAATGCCAACAAAGGACTGTCCATAGCCTGGTTATGAGAGCATGGTAGGTCCCAACTATAATACAGATTTCAACTCTGCTGCATAGACTGGGGGACAACTGAGCTATAAGAGGTCCCCTGATTCAACTGTAGCGTAGACAAGCCAAAGTAATTTGTAAGTTATTTTCAGTGGGGATACCAGTAAGTCCACTAGTTGCAAAAGCAGGGGACAAAGGACTAAATTGATGGTAACGTGCTAATTTCCTTGTACAGTTCTGCTTGTAACCTGGGTTTTCACCTTTGGCTCTAAATCTGAAATGGCATACATTTCCTCTTATAATTTTCTGTGACATGCACACACACAGAAAACATGCAATGCATTTTTTTCTTGTTTTAAATAAAACATGTTCCAGTCTTGTACGTAAATGATTGATCACACAATTATTTTATCGTGTGGCACTAATAAAACAGTCCTTGAGATCTTTCAGTAAATTCTAGTTTTATTAGCCTTGTTTTTACATACCAAGTAATATTTTACTAGCACTCCATAAATAAAATATATTCAACTGTACACAGCTCTTTGTATTGAAAGGGCCATAGTATCCATCTTTTGGCAATTTCTTATATAATTCTATTAACATTAAAATGAAATACTACACAAAAATAAAATCAACCGTATAAAAATAAAATCTACTGAGCCTATTTTTCTTTTTGCCGTTATGATTCCCTGAAACAATTACTCTCTGCTTTTCCTATTTCATTCTCTCAGATGCCACAGGAGACTTGTTCCTACCTATGAAAGTGCTTCCATACGCCGATTTGAAGAGGGAAGAGTCGACAATATTAGGTCTGCAACCCCAGAAGTTTTAGCTTTTGTAAAAGCAATGATTGATGACAAGTCATCTCTACCGGTACGTTAACCCTCTCTTTTGCTTTTATTTAAAACAGAACAAAAAAAAATCATGCTTCTCAATCTAGTACCTATAGATAGGGTGACAAAAATGCCTTTAGTGAGGTAGGAACTCATTTCTGTGAGAACCAGAGCTTCATGCTAAATATGAATATTCATTTTATTATTTGACCATTCAAAAGCATGATACAGATAATTACACCATGAGAAACAGAATCTGTGTCTAAACTTACTTAACAGAATCTTTTGTAATTTACACCCGCAGAGCCAAATTCTGCTCTTTGGAGAATTTCACACTGAACTTGAAAGTTCAGGGTCATATACTGCACACTAGATGTTAGTTGGTTTGTTTGTTTCTATAGCCACGCTTCTGCCAAACATAGATAGTGTTTATCTAATATGCCCAGTCAGGCTAAAACTTCTGATATTAGATGTTTAAGTCTTGGTCAAGCTTAGGAAACAGTTTTCCATAATGCACTGACAGACACTTTCTGGAACTGCACTATTGAGCTGCCCTATGTGCAGATTCCTCCTGCACACACTCCATCAGCCTACCAGGAATATGAATAATTTGCACTGGTGGCAGGGTGTGTGGCGCAATGCAACTGCCAGGTCAGGGAGTGTACATGCACAAACAGGCTTACCCTAATTTTTGTCCTAGGCTCTCCCCTTTGCAGTCTGCAGGAAAGCCCCTCTGTACATCTCTGCAGGTTTTGTAGGGGAGTATTCCACCTCTGTTGTGCACAGATTTTCTGGTGGGTGCCTGTATGTGTCACCCCGCCAGAATTTGGACATATTTGTACAGAGCTGCTTCTAGCAGGGGATAGTCAGGGTAGCTGCTTCCAAGTATCAGAACTTTAACAGAAACATTGCAATGCAAGGAGGTGTGGTGATTTAAGAAATCTTAGGCTTTGGCTACACTTGCATGTTATACTGCAGTAAAGCCTCCCAGAGCGCTCTACCTCACTCCCCGTCCACACTGCCAAGGCACGTAGAGCGCTCTGACTCCCTGGCTGGAGCGCTCCTGGTACTCCACCTCCCCCAGAGGATTAACAGCTGTTGCGCATTGGCTGAGACGCTCCAGCGTAAACGGGGAGTAATGTTATTATGCACTGATTGACCTCTGGAAACTCCCCATAATCCTTTTAACTGAAGCGTCCTCTCTTGTTTTGTTGTGAACTCCGGATGGACGCGGAAGTGCCGTTTCAAAGCTCCCTTTCGGGGGCTGCTTATCAAAAAACCAAACACAGCTACTGTTTGCTTTGAATGAGTGAGAGGTAGGCAGGGGGGCTCCGTTGGGAGTGCCGACAGCTAATGTTTGCTTGAAGACAGAGACGGCGCGGGGGGAGGGAAGGGGGAATTGGGGTCCGGTTCGGCGAGCGGCTGCTTATCTTGTCTATGAGAAAAAAAGAAACAGCTGCCCTTTGCTTGCAGTGAGTGAGAGAGAGGCGGGGGAGGGAGTAGGGTCTGTACTTACAAGACAGCACACTGACACACTCTCAGCACCCCAAAAACCCACTCTCCCCCCCCCCGACACTCCCTGTCACACGCCACACCCACACCCCATTTGAAAAGCAGGTTGCAGCCACTTGAATGCTGGGGTAGCTGCCCATAATGCACCGCTCTCAATGCAGCCGCAAATGTGGCCACAACAGTGCGCTGTCAGTGTGGACAGACTGCAGCGCTTTCCCTACTCAGCTGTACAAAGGTGGGTTTAACTCACAGCGCTGTACATGTGTAAGTGTAGTACAGACCTGTGTACAAAATTCCAGAGGTTGCTGGAGAACTGTATAAGGAGGTGACAGTTTACATTCCACCACCACATCTTCCACCTCTGTATGCTGTCCAGTTCAAAACCCATCTTGTTCTGAACAGGGCTCTCAGAAATTCCATGTTAAAAATCCACTGACAACATGAAGGCTGAGGTGGTTCCTGAACAGGACATGACTTTTTAATGGTAATCACTATGCTTTGGCCAACCCATCCTACATAGGACTCACTATCATGCTGAAAATGGCTTCTGCCTGCCGGTAACCTCTCTGGTGATACAGTGCTACTGTCAACAATGCAGCTTGCCTGGGAAGATGAAGTTTGTCCAGAGTGGGCAAGCCCTGAGGTACTTCCCCAGAACAGTCCCTTCTCCATGCATCAGTCCCTGCCCCTGGACAGCACGCAGTGCCTGGGTGCCACACCAGTGCATGCTCTCATACTTTCAGAACCTCTAGCAGAAGACAGATGCCCCAATCAGTTCCAACCCCCAAGTTCTCTTGACACATTTTTTATCTGATTTCTCTTGCCCTTTTGAACCATTGCTGGTGGCTCTTATCCCTCCCTTTGTCCACTCATATTCAACTATCTGGCTTCTCCAGCACTTGCAAAGCTTCATCATCTCCCAGTACTTTACTGCCTCAACTCTGAGACAGTGTACCCACCAGTGATATCCTAACTGTGTTGAATCATGTGAGTGAGCAAGGGAATGTCACAGGTGACCACATAGTCCTCGTTTCTCTAGAACCACCTCTGCCAGCCCGTGCCTCATTTTGTGTGCTCCAACCTTCCAAATGTTTATCTCACCCCTTGGCAATAATAAATATGGAGGAGAATGATGTCATTATTCCATCTAAAGAATCCTGTAAACATCATACAGTTCTGCCCAATGGAATTATGGTTTTCCTGGCGATTATAAAGTATGCATATTTTGTTAGAATATCTATTTGGAAAGGTGCAGGCATCTGAATTACTCTGTGGATATTTCACCCATAATTTTTTGGAACACAAACATTTGTTCATATATGACCATTCTTTTCCAGTCTTAGATCCATATATACTATAGTTAAAAAAAGAATGAGAAACAGGATTCCCTTAGCTGACCTACACTCCACCAATGGAAGTGAAACGGGGTTGGGTTTTTTTGTTGTACTAAAAGACATGTCTTTTGATTTAAGGAGCCTTGAACTCTCTGAAGTATTTTTTGCTGGTAGCCATTAGTCCAAATCAAATCAGAAAATATTTTGCTTCTGATACCAAAGAAAGTGATTTTCAAATGACAGTTTGAACAATCACCAAAGATTGAGTCTGAGTCAGATTGATTATCTAACACAGGAGATATATATCATACACTAGACACCATCTTTACAGGAAGGAACCTCTGACATTGCACAGAGTGCTTGAGAAACTGTAAATCAGATTTAAAGACTGCATTTTCTAATGTAATCTATCTAAAGGACCTGGGACCTGGCTCTAGTCTCATGGAGAGATATCAGATTCTGTGCTGTGAAGGTTTCTGATGATGCCCTTGGATTGCTTCTAAAATGAATTCTTTATTCAAAAGATCATTCATTGTTGATGCAAGCTAAAGCTTCCCTATTCATTTAGAATTACACAAAAGAAGGCAGTAACTTTTGCCTGTTTCATGATCTCCCTAATCTGCAACATCTCGCTTGATATACACTAGCAGCTATGCCTAAAATTGATCCCATGACCTAAAGTCTGTTACTTGGCAGGAGCCAAAATTTACAGTTCTGTAACCAGAGATGTGTAGTAACTGCAAAGGTTAAAGCAGCCCTGGAAAATTCTAGTTGCCCATTCACTCAGGGGAGTGATTTTCTTGACCAGCTGGTAAAATATCAATATTTTTTTTCATTAACATCACTGTCCCTGTCATCATGATAAAGGATGCTCAACAGATTTAGTGCCTGGTCTGGTAAATTTCTATGATGGTTTTGCAAGGCAAGGATTAAACTATGCAATTATTGTACCTTTTAAATTTTAAAATTTAATTAGTCATACCTTCATCTGTTGCACACTTTACTGACTGCCCACAGTGACCTACATTGACTGACCCTGTGTACAGTTACTGAGAATTTTCTTCACCAGTTCATCTCATCTCTACTGATCATGTTTTAGTTTCAGTAAACTGGTTCTGTTCACTAATACAATACATGTAATGGCACAGTTCATTCTGCTTTTAATTTATTGATACCTGCTGCCAATCAGATAAGGGTATGATTAAAAAATATATTAGGCATTATGTTGACTATGGACCTGACACGAACTCTATTAAGTCAATTGAAAGTCTCTCCATGACTTCCATTGGCTTTAGATTAGGTCCTATGACCTATTTGACCCTCAAAAAATAAGGCAATACTAGTGAGCATAACTTTGAACCATAGTGGCCTTCCATTCATTCAGAATGCCCACAACAAAGTAGGTATTTTGGGGTAACCGGGGGCATTTGGGTGTACTATTGGTTGTTGGCTCGTTGCCAGTAGAAGTTACTTCCTGGAGAGATTTTCAGTAATAGTTATGTTTCTATTCCACCAACAGGAATCTGAGAAGATGCAACGATTTAAAGATGCAATCACGGCACAGACTAATTATACTATTTTGGTGAGTAAACTGTTGTTCTGCCTGGATAAAAACCAGTCAGTTTTATACAAAAACATGAAGACATAATCACTAAGTACATGAATTTCAAAAACTTTAGGTGCCTCTGAATACGGAGGACCCCAGTGCCTCACACTATCTTGTTGACTATCAGACCTACCATCCAAACAGCCATATGGCTCCATCTTCTATGATCTCACTTCAAGAAACACTTCCCAGAAGCTGATATGGCAAGGTTAAACATCTGCATGAGACAGTGCTCGTTAGCTTACATGATAATCTTTGGACATAACACTCTTGGGCACAACCTTTCTAGATATGATAGTTCTTATATAGTGTTGTCACAGAAGATGGCCTGGTGTAGTTGATGTCTCTACATGGACACTGGGCATTTGTGTGACACTTATTAATTATTAACATTATTATTAATTATTTGTATTGCAGTAGCATCTAGGAGTCCCAGTCCTGGACCCTATTGTGCTAGGCAGTGTATGCACACAGAACAAAAAGACATTCCGTGCCCCAAAGAGCTTACAATATAAGTATACAAAAAGACGCAACAGGTAGATACAGACAGGCAGACAGATGCAGGAGCTCAATGAGACACCCACCTATATTTCCTTTATTCAGCACAGTATTTATTCTAGTGTCCAAAAACTCCATTCTCATAGGGAATAGAAGCAAGCATGCACATCTCTCCCAGAGTTTACAGGGATTTAGATCCAAGGCTTTTGTTCAAGAAGGTCTCTACTATACCGGGGGTTACTTTTCTAAAGCTGGCTAGTGATGTATTTTTATATTACCCTTCCGGGGAAGCAGCTATGCCTTTAGAGCCCAGTCCTCCACTGAGGTAAACGAGCATAGCTCTAGTGACATCAATGGAGCTGCATTCATACACTCCAGCTGAGAATTTGGTCCTTAGATTCCAAACATTGACTTAGAACTTGCATGGTTATTAACAGCAAATGAATAATTGTACGATACTCCCTTTAAAAGACTATTGAACATGCTCTACAATAAAACAAGGGGATACCCCAGTGAAGAAATCACTTTACTAGTAAAACGACCCATTTTCTGTTGATTAAAAGTGAAGCAGCTCAGTCTTGGTAACACTTCACAACCTGCTGTGTCAAGACAAAGTGCTGACTTACAATACTAATAACTTACTCAAGTCACTCATGATGTTAATAATTGTTAATAACCAGTTTTGTTGTAAAATTTACCACCTTTACTTTTGCCTCAGTCCAATGCCTAACAAATTCACTGTAAGCTGCTGGGCATAATCATTGCTGATTACTGCTTAAATAGTAGTAATAGACAAGAAAGCATCCTCCACTAGTCCTTATCCCAAAGCACGTGCAGAGTGAGAGAGGGAAGACATGTCCAAGGAGGCATTCTTCAGACTGTGGAATGAAGAAAGGGATGAGGAACGACAGTTTGTGGTGAAAGCACTGCACTAGGACATTGGAGGATCAGATCCTGGTTCTGCCACAGATTTTTTTTCCTGATCCTTAGTTCTCCATCTCTAAAAAGGGGATATTAACACTTCTTTTTTCACATTCTGAGTCTGTCTTTGTTTATGTAGATTTTAAGCTCTTCAGGACAGGGACTGTTTTTCACTGTGAGTATGTACAGTCCCTAGCACAAAAGGGCCCCAATCTCAGTGAGATCCTGGGCACTCCCTTAACACAACTAAGAGTGCCTCCTTTCCCTAAAATTGCCAAAAATATGCAGTAGTTCATTTTCAGTCTAATGCAATGTTACAAACATTAGACCTTTGTGTAACTCATGGGGCAGAGCTAAAATTGCTTTGGGAACTTTAATTCTGGCTTTCCTAATTTATAAGGAATTTAAAATCTCAACCTTAATATTTCATTAGCTCCTCCTCCCCCCCCCCCCCACTTTTTTTTGAGGACAGTTTAATATTAGCATGCACTTGAAGAGACAATGAAATTCAATTTTAGATGTAAAAGTACTCCACCCACTTTTGATCATTGGGCATTCCCTCATTCTCATAAAAACATAATTTAATTGGTGTGCCTTAAAACTATGGGAAAATTCAAGTGAAGGTTTACACAATCTGACTAAACTGTATATGTTACAGACTGAAATATACCAGCCATGAAGAAAATAAAACATCCACCTCATAACACAAACAGCAGTTTAGGGTGATTTTATTTTCCCTGGTTAGGGCTTACCAGCAACATTGCTATCTTAAACTTGGAGCCCTAAAATTCAATTTAGCACAATTTTTTCCTATGTGTTGACTCACAGTTTATTTCGTTAGCCTGTCTCAGTCTCTCTTCAGACATGGCATCGATCTATGTTGCAAAAATGTCATTGCTAGGAGCCTTATAAATCTTGTATGATAGCAAAATATGTCCTTTGATCATCAAGTCAATTTCCCTCGATAGGAAAAACCAAGGTAACCACTGTTTCGTTGCACAATCCTTTCTCCAGTGTTTCTGAACCATATGTGCTGACAGGCGTACAGACCATTGACCAAAGGGTGTGTTCTCCTTCATGAGCCAGACAAGGTTATTTACTCCCTTCCCCTTGCATCATTCATCTTAGACATTGGGACAATTCTTTGCCTGAGAGAAAAAACAAATTGCTGCCTTCTTACTCTTCTCCTTCCCTTTTAGAGCATCTTGTCTTCCCTGTCCTTGAGGGTTCTGTGCCCCGTTAGCTATCAGTTCTACTTTAATTGCCATTTGAACTTTCTTGTTCTACGTCTAAATGATCTGCCCTTCCCAAATGATTTCATCAGTGAGGAACTATATCTTTCTGGCCCAGATAAAGTCTACACATTCACCAAGAACTTGAATATGTACCAAAAGGGTTTTTGACAGCATCCATGGCTGGCAGTTGTGGTGAATAAACTGAAGGAAAAAATTAGATTTAAATGTATCTTTTAATCTGGAGTGACTTTCCACCCACTTCAGACCAGCCAAAACCTAGGCTGCTGTGGCCAAGACTTTTTAAAATAATTTTAAATTTTCAGTTAATTCAATTCTAGTCTCCTAAAGCACACGAAGATTGGAACAAAGTGGTTATGGTATCTTAGGGTTCTCTCTTCCACATTCTAGATAAGGACTTTAGAGCAATCAGAGGAGAGCTGGCCCTAAGAGAATTCATCCCAGGCCAATGCATGGCAGGATAGGACTTTGGAAGTTAAGTCAGTTGTAGCTTCAGACACTAAGGAGCAGAGAGCATCCCCACCGCCTGGCCCTATTCTTCTCCAATGACTGGGAACCCTAGATAACTCTGTGGATATAAATTCTGTTGGACCCTAAGCCCCTTATCAGCCCAGACCCAGATCCACAAGCAGTGAAATTTCTGAGAATAATCTGCTGCCGTTTGGAGAGGTTTTGGAGCTTCCTAAGAAAATTTCCTTGAAACTAGTACATGTACTGTGAAGTAAGATTTTCACAAGTGCCTAAAGGTGTTTCACTGGAAATTGGATGTCTAACTTCCTTCGTCTCTTTTAAAAATCCCACCCATAATACTTACAGGACCTGATTTTCAGAGATAATGAGCACCCATAACCCCAGATGACCTCAGTAGGAGTTGTGGTGCTCAACACTTCTCAGGATCAGGCTCTTACATAGCACTTAAAAGTACCATATGAACTTTTATTATTGATTATCCACAGTGAATATACGCTGAGTAATTTTAAAATACATTTAGGGCATTATTCCACACAAAGTCCCCCAAGTCTAACCAAGGGAAATGACAGCAACAGCTGGGAGTTCTGTAGTTCTGCATGCTGTCAGTAAAACCGTCTGTTTTCAATTATATTTTGCTAGGCCATTACTGGAATGGCAATAGACAATCACTTGCTAGGGCTCAGAGAGACAGCACGGGAGCACTTCAAGGAACTGCCAGAGATATTTACAGAGGAAACATATTTGACAAGCAGTCGATTTATCCTCTCAACCAGCCAGGTGAGTGTTTCAAATTCATGGGTCTTGTTGTAGCAAGATTCCCTGTTACAGAACTAATTCATTCCTAATCAGCTGAGTCTATAGTTCACAATGAGAATGGTGGCTTTGAAATATTGTGACAGTGACACTAACAGCCATGCAAAATTCCTGATTTTCATTCCAAAGTATTTTTCTATAGTCAAAATGCACATAACAAAAATTGGCTGAAGCCATAACTTCCCTTTTCTATCCCAAAACTGTACCCCAACTGACAGACAAACTTTGTGACGCCTAGTCTTGAACACAAAAAAAACCAACAAAACTTGTATGAGAGCCTTGTGCTTCCTTCCCTTCCACTTTAGGTCTCCCTTCTTCCCTTGCCCTTTTTGAAGGCACCAACTCCTGGAGTAATTCTGTTTTCCACAGACAGCACAGCCACCAAGCCAGACGTCCTGCCATTGTGGCTAGAGAGGCCAAGAAGCATGAACAAATATTTCTCTTTCTAAAAGCAGCTGTGTCTGAAATTTCAGGCTAGTGCTAGCCTAGGTTTTGCAAGGATCTATGCATGTTACTAAAAGGTACAAGGCCTTGCGCAGCCTTTCCTCATCTGTGAATACCCCCACCTTTTCACACTTAAAACAATACTGACTGGCTGTTACATGACTGTGACACACTGCCCGCATACCTGGTTGCAAGGCTTTCGCCTACAGACTCTGGAATAGACCAGATGGGAAATTCCACTGAACAGTAAATTAGGAGGAAGGCAGCAGCAGGGAAACACATTCAAGAGCTTTAACCAGAAGATGAGATGAAAACTGTGCAACACAACAACTAGAAATGAAGGTGTGCTTTTCGGATCCTGTGACTGGTGGATTGGATATGTGTGGAGCCCCAAAGGCAAACCTCATAGTTGGCACAGGCCTAAGACCATCACTGGCTCTGCCTGTCCAACACATACACGGAATAACAACATGAACAGATTAGGGCAAGTAGAGTGTAAATATCGTAACTATAGGCTTAGTCGTCCTTCAGATATTCACAAAAATTGTCAGAGTTGCAATTCCTGATGTGCAAATGAGCTTTTACATTTACAAATGGTATATTCTGGTAACAAGATGATTAGCCACACCAATATTTCCTAGATTCAACATTTTGAACGATAATACTGGGGTCATCAAAACTTACAAATTAAACGTTTCTCTACATACAGTAGCAGGTTTAGTGAAAAAAGACATCTACATAGTAATTCAGTTACTGAAACTCTACCTCAACTATATAGGACTGGGAGTGTGCAATAAAACGGACTGATAATATTGTGCTGAAGCATAAAAACCTTAATAAGTAATTTGATCTTGTCATAATGTTTGTGGGCTTTCAGACATGAGGATTATAGCCAGAATACCACTACATAAATTCTCCAAGAAACCATCCATGAGCAAAAAAGTGTTTCTGAATAGCTTTATGGCCTTCGGCTGTTGCACAGCAAATTTATCCGACAATTCTGTGACTCTATTAGCAGGACTAATGGCTTGTTCTATGCCATTAAAAAGCCAAATGTCACTTTTGAAGGCTCATGTATACAAAGTCTGAAACATATAGATTTCTAACAAATCTTAAATTTCCTTCAGTAGGAAGTGTTTTATCCAGCATTATGTCACAATTAAATTCAAATTGTAACAGAAAAATTGTTTCAACTAATAGCTGAATGAATTAAAACACACTGTTTTTTCCCGGCCTCCGGATTATAAATGTTAAGAGCTGAAAAAGTATTACATTCTATAACTAATTAAACTTTGCACATTACAAGTTTAAATTAACCTTGAGATAAGCGGAGTGAAATCTTAGGGAAATTTTAGGCAGTATAATTGTTTATATGCATTCTGTAGAAATTATTGATAGTTATTCTGTAGAAATCAATATGCAAAGCTAATAGCCATTAAAGGTCTATTTAAAATGATAGAATAAGTGAAATATATGCATTTCAGTCTCAGACAATGAGCCCAGTTTTCAAATATAGCAACTGAACAAAACATCCAAAATCTGCATTTGGACACTCAGATCAGTGTTTAGAGCCATACATAGCCGTTTTATCTGCCAAAGTGCTGATTTTGGTGTCCAGCTCTGTGCTCCAGACTTCCTATTAAGGCAACCATATTTGTTAAGGGAATCCTCTATGTTTAAAATGTTTGGGGCTTTTTAAAAAATAATTATTTAATGTTAACTAGATTATTTCACTGCTTCAACTTGAAATCACTCTTTTCCCTACTATCAGGTTCCAACCACCATGGAAATGTTCTGCTGTTATGGGCCTGTGGTCCCCAATGGTTATGGTGCATGTTACAACCCACAGCCAGAGCATATATTATTCTGCATCTCAAGCTTTAAAGACTGTAAAGAGACCTCCTCAGTTATGTTTGCTAAAGCTGTAGAAGAAAGTCTCATGGAAATGAGAGATTTGTGCAGCAAATGCAACTCTACTACGACAAAATCACTGGCTAAACAAGAAGCAGCTGCAAAATCTCAAAATGGACGCAAGCTCTAACGGTCTGTGACTTATTTTCCTGCACCCTTTCCTTTCTCCCACTCTGCAGATCCTTATGAAGAAACAATGATACAACTGTTCAAAGGCAAGGTATAATGAGAAACATTTTATTGTAGAACAAAAATGCAGCTTGTTTTAGGTATGATTATCATTTATCAAGATGAAAGCTAGAATACTATAATACTGAAGTTTAAGTTTTTTGCTCTAGAGTCAGCAATAATGATTGGTCTGTTTAGTTGAACTGAAGATGGCAATAATATGGAACCATACTGTACCACCACTCCTATCAATATGCAAAAGTAGTTTTAACATCCATCTTTATTCTGACCTTGACTAGCCCCAAGCACACATCTGTTCCTAGTAAAATCAAGAATAATCTACATGGGGTCTTTTCATCAGAGGAGTTCCATGTGCATACCAGTACATCAGAGTCAAGTGAAGCAGAGAGAATTTTGCCCTAAATTAATTCACGTACTTACTTCCTCCTCTTACTGGGTGAAATACATCCCTTTACAGAGGCCCAGCACAAGGCCGAGGCACTTGTCCCACTTAAATCTCTTTATCAGCTCTCTGCAGAGGAATGAATTTTAATCACATGACTAACAGTAGAGCTGCATGCAACCATAAGAAATCAAAGAGTTACAAACACCTGGAGTAGAGAGGCAGGCACTCAAATGTGCTCTGCAAGCTGCAGAAGTCCCCACTATAGAAGTTACAGACATGATCCATTTTTAAGAATATTTTTCACTCATTCTAACCTCTGATCATCCCGTTTGGTTTGTTTTTGTTTTTTAGATACAGATGTAGTGATTCATACACAGTATATAGAGCATTTTAGTCTTGCATTGATTATGTGTCTTTAAATAAAGCATTTGCTTCAGTGTTATTTAATATAGTTAACTAAGTGGTAAGAACAATATACCACCGGTACAACTTTTGGAACAATTTATTTTGGGAGTGGGGAAACCCTTCTACTCCCCACCTCTGTTTCAGTGACTTTCTCTCTGACTGAAAGACACAGCTAGTTCAGTCTAGAGATTTTTAATCCCGATTCCTATCCAACTCTCATGGTAATCAATAGAAAGACTCTTATTGATTGAATTAGGAGCAGGAGGAGACCCCCAGTTAGGCAGAAGGGTCACTCTCAGAAGTTTAGCTAGGGTTGTAGTTGGACAGGAGGGAGTAGGGATCTGTGCTTTCTCCTCCCATTGAACTGAATGCCTGTCCTCATCATTCATAGCCCTAAGAGCATGGGACCAGATATGATCCAGTACACAAAACTAACTGGATAGCTGTAAGGATAATTGTAGTTTATTTAATCAAGTTTAGGAACCAACCCAGTAAAGCGCATATGCACATGCTTAGCTTTAAACACGAGCAGTCTCATTAACTTTATTGGGACGATTCATGTACTTCTAGTTAAGTACATGCTGAGGTACTCTGCTGGAGGAGGGCTATATAGGGCTCTGTTACATTTAAGCACCATGGGCCTATTCCTCAACTTGTGTAAATCAGCTACATTAATTTTACACTGGCTGAGGATGTGGTCCCATATTTTAATGCGGGTTTGCTGCTTAAAAAAAAAGCAGTTTCATTACAGCACAGAACTGCATTCAGTGAATAGTAAAAAGAGAGACTATTTTTAAAGTATTAAATAATGCTACAGCATGATTTTGCTCCAAAATTAATATAACAAAAAATTACATTAACTATGTAGCGGGTATGTTGTCTAGCAAGTAACCTTTTTTTTTTTTTTAATTTGCTGTTTAAAATGTGACTTTACATTTTGTTTTCATACTGCTGCTAAGAGAATTACCTTTCAACATTCTCAATATGATCTTGCTTTGTTCTATGTCACTGTGAAGGCAGTCTTCACTTTTAATACAAGCTTGACACCAAAATATTTTGATTTTTTGATCACAAAATTGTGTCTGAGCTTTTTGAAACGATGAGCAAGTTCCAAGTTTGCTAATTTATAGAAAATGTGGTTATGATTATTTCTAATTAGATATATTTAAGATTGGAAAAATATTTTACATTTTGACAGATTTCAATGTGTGTTTCAAAGTATTACTTGCACACCTTTTTTGGCACAAGCAAATGCCATAAAATAGCTGACTAATTATTATGTACTCAGCATACAACTGTATGCATTGAAATTGAGATTGGATAAAAAATCATAGTATTTTATAATATTCATTTACTATTAATTGACAGGCAGAAAAAACTGACCACAAAAGAATACATCACTCATCTGCAGATGCTTTTATTTTCCTCACTGCAAATTGATTAACAATAGAAGGTTTTGTCATCATCCTTTCATTTGAATAAGAAATCAACAACCACCAATACTTACTGATTGCTGATTACCACCAATTACTTAATGATTCCAGGCTTAGATATATTGACCTGTTTTTCCTATTCATCTGCTTTTCACATCACTGAATCTTACTGAATCAGGGTCTCTGTGCACAAGAAATGCAGTCAGTCCAAATGTGGCTGAATTTTACAGTTTGTACTTAATGAATGCAAGTTGGATAAAACTTCATAGCAACTGTGATGCCGGAAAGTGTTCTCAATTTCTCAGTTACGGTCCAGCCTCTCGGTTAACTAAATCACATATCACCATGTTGTATGAAACTGTGTTGTAGTGGAATTTTTGTGGCTTTCAGGAAGTGGTTAGTTTTGGTTAATGTATTTAAAATTAGTTGTTTTAGACCAGTAGAATAAAATTTTGTTCTGCAGCTTTAAAACACGTAATCTCAGCATATGCAACTATGCAAAGCTAATTGAAAACTATTACATATTATTCAACTACAAAACTGTGAATGGATCACTCATACTAAGTGTTTTGAGAATGTTGTTTGGCAGGATGAATTCAATATAATTACATTAATATAGCAAGTGGCAATGATTTATTATAAACATGTTAATGACACTTGAAATCCACCTGTTAACTGCAAAATGGTTTAGGATGGTAAGGTTTCGTGCAATATATACGAACATATACTGTATATAGGCTTGGCAAAATTATTTTTTAAATAATTTTGACAGATATCTGCTTATTTTAAGCATTTTTTCAGTTTTTACTGATTTAAATTTTCACAGTTGCACAAAATTATGGGTTTTAAGCACTTTTAATTTTTATCTATTTAAATTTTCAGAGTTGCAGTAAAATGCGGGGGGGTCAGACAATTATTTAATGATAGTAGACAGATTCAAAAAGTTAAAGCTACATAACCATTAAAAATAAACTGTCAACATCAAGTATCAACATATACAAAGTAAATATCCATAAATCAAACTTAACAAGTTCTCAGCAACATTTTTATGTAATGTTCTCAGCAATATTATATGTAAATTTTGATTCTGATCATCAGTGGAAATATTTTTCATCAGTTTGTGTGTGTAAGGTGAAATCAAGGTTTACTGATATTTACTAATAAAAATCTAATCATCCCAAGCCTATACACACTTTCACCCACCCACTCACCCAGTGCTAGACTGTGCTCAAAGATATTTATGGACTGATATCTCACTTAAAAAGAGGACTCTCATGAATATCAAAATTCACAATGAATAGACAGAAGTGGGAGAAATCTTCAATAGTGATGCACATTAAGGGATAAAATACTGCTGGCATTATCCCTGTGAGTAGTCTCAGTGACACTATGCATGTAAGTTCAGTAGGAAATGGCTATAACAATGTAGCAGAACCTTTTATGGTATGTGAATTACCATACAAAATTAATATTTTAGTGACATTTTTATTTTTATAACATAGTATAGATTTATGGCAAATGTAAATGTGTATTTATAGCATCTTAATTTTGTTTCTGTTCTAAGTTTTATGCTTTAAGGAAACAAATATCTATATCTAGAGAGATATAAAATTGAAGTAAACTGTATATTGGTACTATGAACTCAGAATATTTAAACAGTAAAAATCTGTGTCCAATAAAAAGTATTGCAAGAAAAGACCTGATTGAGTTTATTAAATCATATAGACAGCAGTTATTTTAGCCTCATTTCTTACTTAAGCAAATATGTTAAAACTATGTGCTATGATATCTTCATCTGTTCCATCTGACGTATTTTCAATGTTGCCAAGGTATGTGAAATATCAGACCTCTTCTATGTTAGTCCCAGAAAGTGTAATTGGTGTTTCTTCTTGTGTGTTGATGGCCTGGTTCTGGTTTTCAACCCTACTAATTGTGCACAGGCCTGGAAAGCATTTGTTTTGGCTTGCACGTCTCTATGGATATGGAATAGCAAATTGATGTAATGTGCAAAGTCAAGGTTGTCAGGAATCAGGGATTGCAGCCATGCCTGGGACCAGCTAAACACCCTGATTGACCAGACTTCCTGCCTGGCTGAGGGGCCACGCCTGCTCTGAAGCCCAGAAGCAGCACCAGGCCAGTGGCTCTTCAACGTTTATGCCTGCCACTCGATTGCGCTGATACATGCCTTGCTCCTGTTCTGCTCTGTTCCTCACACAGATCTGACCCTTGGCTCTGACTCCTGATTCCTGACTGCAGCTCTGATCCTTAGTACTGTTTCTGGCCTCTGCCTCTAATTCCGACCACTAGACCTGGCCACCCAAACCCTAGTCTGCAGGGCCGTCCCTACCCCGATGACCAGACATCCTGATAAAATCGGGACTGTCCTGATTTTTAGTTCTTTGTCCCACCTCCCGACCGATGCATGGTTGGGATGCCATTTATCCCGATATTGCGGATTTGGCTGCTCCGGCGGGGGATTTTTTGTTTTGTTTTTTTGCTTCGGCAACTCGGCTACCTCCACAGCTGGATGCTGCTGCAGCCCCTGCTCCACTTCTTCTCCATGGCCCCCGCCCCTTCCCGCCCCGGCCCCATTCCACCCCTTCCCCTGAGGGCTGCAGCAGGGGTCGAGTGCCCTGAACTCACCGGGCGGCGGTAAGTCCAGCGACCCAGACCCAGCCTGCGCCATGCTGCCAGCTCCCAGCTGCGCCACCGGCGAGTGCTGGGGGTCAGTTCCTCCCTCCTCCAAAGTCCGGGAGCCAGGGGAGCAGAGTGGAGTGGGCTGGGTCAATTCAGTTCCCGCCACCCCTTAAGCGCAGGGTCAGGCCCATCCTGCACTCACTGGGTAACATCAAGTGCAGCGACCTGGCCCCAACCCGGTCCACTGGCTCATGCTGGGGGGCGGTTTCCCTACTGGCCCCAAGCCTGCTCCTGCCCCACCCCTGCCCCGCAGAGGCCTGGGGCCACACACACACACCCTGCAGAGGGGTGGGGGGGGAACTGCGCTGGGCACCAAAATGGCTAGGGATGGCCCTGCCTGTCTGTGACAAAGGTCTTCTAACTTCTGTGTAAAAGTTCATTGTATGTCCCTTGGTTATTCATAGAGTCAAAAGTTAAAAGGGATTGCAAGGATCATCTAGTCTACCCCCCTGCCAATAAGCATTCTATGGTCTCTCTCATAACCTACTTACTACCAGTAAAAAGATCATGGGTTACATAAGACATCCTTGTCTGATGACAAATGACTTAGTCAGTTAACTGTTCTGTATTACTTGGCATGTCATGTTTTCATAGAAGCTCTGAATGATGTTTACAAATTTCTGATGGATTCCATAGTGGCTTAGCAACTTCCATAAATCTGTTCTTTCCACTGTATCAAAGGTTTTTGGAAATCTATAACATTCATGTAAAGTGGTGACTGCTATTTGATTGGCAGTTCTGTGATGATACATAGGGTTACTATTTGATCTATACATACATGAAAATATTAAAGCCAGAATAGTGAAAGCCAGACATGCCTTTGTAACTTGAAAGTGGATCTGGAGAAACAGATTCTTACTCTCCAAATGAAACTTTGAATATTTAATACCATTCGAGAGTTAGTCTTACTATACAGCATTGAAACTTGGAGACTTATTAAGACCTTATTATCTAAGCTCCAAGTTTCCATAACAACTGCTTTAGACAAATTTTCAACATTAGATAGCCAAAAAAAGTCACAAATGAAGAATTATGGAGGAGCAAAACCTATGAGACAGGAAATTACAGAACAAAAATAGAGATAGCTAGCACATATATGGAGGAAAGAGCTGCATAACATAACACAGGCATTGGACTGGAATCTCCAGGGCAAGAGGCAACAAGGTAGACCAAAGATAACATGGGAAAGCACAACTGAAGCAGAACTGAAAGCTATCAAATTGACATGGGAAAAAGCTGAGACTGCACCAAGACACTGTCAAAAATGGAAGGCAGTGAAAGCCCTATGTTGTGTATTGAATGAAGAGACCTAAATCAGTCAGGTTAAGTGACTTGCCCACGGTCACCTCCCCATATAAGTAGCAGACCCAAAAACAAAACTTGGAAGTGCACATTCTAACCACTACATAGTACTCCTTCCCTTATAGGTTTCAATCCTGCTTCTACATTCCAACAATACCAGTTTAAAATACCTAAAATATTTGAGGTATGGTTGAGAACCTTATTTTCCTGTCCAGGAAGCTTTAGGCAGAGAATTCAACTGCTATCCCAGACTCTTCTTTCCTTAAATAACGTCTCAAAACAAAATAACCTTTATAGTCAACATGACATTATTCAGTAATGAGGACTGCCTATTGCTCTGTGTTTTCCCAGTGCCTAGCACACTGGGTCCATTCTTGGTCAGCCCTTATGCTCTCCCATAACAAACATGAGAAAAGTGTGTTTCAGAAATAACATTTTAGCCTATGCCATCAGGACGGCAGTGCTTTATACAGACGCACGTTTCATTTATTCAGTAACTGTATTTTCAGAGTGTGCTTCCATGTGGTTATTAACATAAACACTCATGCTTATTTGTTATAAAAGGGGAACTGACTGCAAATTACACAAGGTTATGAAACCCCTTTTTGAAATGAAAGTGAAACCTGGTCAGACATGCCAAACCCCCAAAAAAACCTGAGCTTATTTTTGGCTGAATTGGCTTGTGAGTTGCTTGTTGGATAGTAGCTCGTTGCTTGTTTGGCTTGTAGTTTGTTGGGTTGTTTTTTGTTTTGTTTTTATCAGCTCCGGGCAAGCAGGGGCAAAGGGCAAAAAGGGGGAAAGAGTGGGGAGATAGTGAGGGGTGCAGTGCAGGCTCACCAAAGTCCCAGACTGCATGTGGGGGGGGGGAATCTAGTCACATGGAGTGTTGGGGTTCTTAGGGATTGGCTTGTTTTGAAATGGGATTAGCTTGATTTCTGGCTTAATTTGAAAGTCGGGTGCTTGTTTATCATGTGAGAGCTGGCAACTGTGAACCTGGGGGTTGGGGTGTCCCACAAACAGTGCCAGGCTCTGTCTTGGTTCCAGATTGCGCGTGTGTGACGCACAGACCCTGCCAGGCGGTGCCTGTGTCTGTGTGGGCTTGCGTAGGACCCGCGCACAGCCCGTGCCAGCCAGGCTGTGTGCCACCCGCAACCCGAGCCCGACGCCCAGCCAGCCCTTGCTCCATGCCGGAAACCCGGCTGCAGCGGCGGCCGCCCTCGGTGCGGCAAATTACGGTCCCCGCCGTTCTCCACACACGCCGCCGCTGGGGAGACCAGAGCCTGGGCGCCGCACCCAGCAGGGCGGCCCCACGCCCGTGACCCGGAGTCCCCTGCCTTAGCAACCGCCGGGCGCGGCTGTTGTCGCTGGGGCCGGGGTTCTGCGCCCGCCATGCCCCCGCGCGCGCTGGTGACGCTCCGGTTCGGCCCCTACCGGAGCTGCGGGGTGTTGGAGCACAGGCCCTTCCGCCTGCAGGGCCTGCAAGGTGCGTGGGCGGCTCCCCCCGACCCACCAGCGGGCGGGAGGGCAGAGACCCAAGTCCGGCTGGGGGAGCGGCTGTCAGCCCTTCCGCCCAGGTGTCTCCTCAGCTCTTGCGCCAATGTGGGGAGCGGGGGGGGGGGCGCGGCCGCCCCTGCCTACGCCTCGTGCAGCAGCTTTCCCACGGAGCCCGCTTTAGGTGTTTACCTCGGGTACAAATGTGGCGGGAGATCCTCGCCGGCAGTGCCGGCCCTGGGCGCCCATTTAAAGCTGTACGGGGCCTTCCCGTCACGTCAGCCGCTTCTCCGCCCACCCCTGAAGGGCTCGGTCCCGAGTTGGGTTCAGATCTTTGCAGCTGCTCACCCCCATCTGTCCCGTGTAGGGGCACCGGCCGCCCTGCCCCTGAGGAAACGGGATAAGGACAGAGGACAAGCAGCGGCAGCCAAACGTTGCCGTTGGGGCGAGAGGAGGAAATGAAATCCCCAGCTGGAAAGCAACTTGAAATCCAGTTAGTTTAAAAGAAGTTGGACTAGGTTCATGCACTAGGCGGGGGTGAGGCCCGGGGCCAGTTTCTGGGGGTTTACCTCAGCTTTTCCTGTTTCTGTAAAAATGGTTTGTCAGGGCTGTAACTATGTGAGTCTCACACAAGCAACAGAAGAAACTGACTTACAGCCTTGATCCTGTAAACCAAAAGGTGGCCCTAGAGTCCGTGCCTAGACATATTAAACTTATAAAGAGCCGCATGTAGCTGGGCAGCCACAGGTTGACCACCCCTGCTGTAAACACTCTCTCAACTAACTCTTAACACACTACCTACACTCATGCATAACGTTACCTAAGTTGTACAAGTGGTTGCAGGATTGGGGCCAAGTTGTCTATCCACAAGGGACTGTCAACGTACAAGAGAAGTTATACAGATATTTTTCAGGGTTTTCAAAGCTTTCAGTTATATTTAACTTGCATGTTCTATATAACACTAGATAAACAGTCTTCACATATAAATGTGACTTTTAAGTTGATCATGCTTCAGTAACTATTCCTCAATTTTAAATACACACCTTCCACATCTCATCTCCACTAAACTTGAAAGCTGTGATGGATATTATAGTTATTTGGTCACTCACTTGAATACAAACGCCTGCAAATTACAAGTATACATATATAAATCAGATTTAGAGTGAATATTCCTCTCATCCCTATTAATAAAATACAGCAGCAGCATTTACATTTTCAGTTCACTGCTTGTAAACACTGAAGATAGTCTATGTTTCTATATATGCCAGGGAAAAAAATTTCTTTCTGCTTTAATCGTGCAGTTCTTTACACAGTGCAAATGGCTTACAAACTATCACTCCAATCATCAGATTTTGTTTTTTGGGGAAGTTTGAATAATGGCTCAGTAAGATTATAACATCTCATAACATCTATGTAATTAATGACAACTGGCTGTCAAGAATAACTTTAATTATTCTCTCCTTTGCTTTATACAGTGATTTATCAGTTGATCTACCAAATACATGTATTTGACATTTAAACTGGCCCTCAAAAATATAACACCTTAATTCAACTAATACACATATTAGACCCAGTTCAACCCTCATGTAACTCTGTTGAAATCAGTGCAATTAGGCATGCAATTTCCATTAACAGAAGTTAAATAGTGGTTCTCAACCTTTCCAGACTGCTGTACCCCTTTCAGGAGTCTGATTTGTCTTGGGTACCCCAAGTTTCACCTCAGTTAAAAACTACTTGCTGACAAAATCAGACATAAAAATACGAAAGTGTCACAGCACCCTATTACTGAAAAATGGATTACTTTCTCATTTTGTCTGTATGAAATGTTAGTTCGTACTGACTTTGCTAGTGCTTTTTATGTAGCCTGTTGTAAAACTAGGCAAATATCTAGATGAATTGATGTACCCCCTGGAAGACATCTGTGTACGCCTGGTTGAGAATCACTGTGTTGGAGAACAGAGCAGATCTTTAAGTCTGACTTAGTAAGAATGAGTATTTAAAATCCTTTCTGGCTCATAAAATAAGCTGATATTTAAGTTATGTTTATTTCCATGTTTTTTTTCCTTTTAGTTTTCCAGTTACACAAAAATCCATTAAAAGCATAAGCTTTGCTGAGCGTAGTTAAACTTAAATTCTATGTATTTTCATAGTTTACATAAATTCATGATAAGATAGCTGTAAAATAAAGTACTTGGAAACCAGCAAAGTAATCTTATTTAGTCTTCCTTTTAACAGATCATTGATAACTCTCAACAACTAATAGAAAGTAGACAGAAGGATACCTTGAGGCTAAGGGTGAAATTCTGGCTCCACTGAAGTCAATGGCAAAACTCCCATTGATTTTAGTGGACCCAGGATTTCACCCTCAGTAAGCAGCTGAGACATCTGAATTGGGAACTGAGCTGGCCTGGAGGTGCACAGTATATTATGCTTGAGGTTTAAATAGTATAAAGGTAGCAAAAGAAGCTTTTAACCCTTTAGTGCAGTGCTGAGAGAAGTAGAGTAGAGCTGTCTATGGCTAGAAGAGTTTAATGGTGATATACATAGCTGTGGGAAAATATATTCATTTCAGCGTCCCAAACGAGAGAAGAATTGTAATTAAAATTATTTATATTAATATAGCTGCAAAACTCTTTTCTGATGTACACGAATGAAGAACTTCTGTAGTCTAATTTCCATTTATTAGGGAATAAGTAATATTTTCCCACTTTAATTGTATTGTTTGTTTCCATTTACAATAGCTTATACACAAAAAAACCCTCTGCCTATCCAAACCTGGAAATGCACCTAAAATGAGTTGTCATATAATAAATTATATATCTTTTTGTTCTAATGCAATATCTTTATTAAAACAAAAGAAAAAATTAATTAAGGGTCTGATTCAGCAAACTTTTACTTGTGTATGTTGTATTTACTAATGTAAAGACATCCACTGAAATCAATGGAATATGTAAGAAACATGGGTAAGGATTTTGCAGAATCAGATCCTAAACTAATGAAATCGTTTGACTAAGTCCCTCATTGAACTATCTCTTTCAGAAATTAATTCAGAGGACATTAGATAAATGGTGGAGTGGGCAGTAAAGAAGTGGAATACCACCTACAGCAAGTAGTTTATATTTTGTAAATATGAACTTTACAGAGCTAATTATCACAGATGACCATTAAAACTCTCCAGAAAGCATTCTAATGAAGTAGCTAATGAAGCCTCTCCCAAACTCTCAGGCTGCTGGAAACTCAAGGAGCACTACCTTATTAAGTGGACTCCTTGCTGAGCCACTATCTGCAGTTTCTCAAGAAGTTAAATTAAAATTCTATAATCATATTTTTCACAGTTGTCTCTAGTTATGCTAAACTGATTAAACAATGAAGTGGACACATAAAAGTCATAACTGTAATAGTAATTAGATGCAAAAAGTTGATACTTCTGTTTACTTTTCTGAAAGAAACATTGACTGGAACACTGAGCTGAAAAGGACTGTTTTGCTTTGGTGGTAATCTTAATATTAGCTCAAACTCTTTTAATTTTCTATTGATAAGTAATTAACGGTACACTGCTTCATGATTTTGCTTAGACTGCCAAAACACACGCACACACAGCATAAGATGCCATTTACAAAGCATATGAAGGTCCAAATCAGAACAATACACTAATTATGAATTGCTAGAACTGTATTAATAACCAATCCTCCTATTTCCTCAGTTTTGCTGAATTTAAGACAGCACTGTACAATGTGCTGCAACAAACTAGTTCCCTCCTAGTTTGTGAAAGCAGGTGGCCAACATGGATCAGTCTGTTCAGAATCCAGAGTAGGAGCCATGTTAGTCTGTATTCGCAAAAAGAAAAGGAGCACTAGTGGCACCTTAGAGACTAACAAATGCATCCGATGAAGTGAGCTGTAGCTCACGTAAGCTTATGCTCAAATAAATTTGTTAGTCTCTAAGGTACCACTAGTACTCCTTTACGTTCTGTTCAAAATGGATCTCCAATCGAGTTTTGGAAAAACAAACAGAGGACGTGTTTGATCAGATTCTCCAACTACTTTAGAAAATCTCAGAAATATTAAATTGTATTCAGAAATAATTCTCTAAGCACTCTTTCAGAAACAAGATGAATTATATGTGCCAGTCAACCGTACAGTTAAAGGTTGATTGCCTGCTGCTCCAATTGCACAATAACACTGTTTTAATGTTTTATTGAAGATTTCTTTTGAAATTACCTACAAATTAATTGTGTTCCTCATGGCTGTTATGACCATTAATAGCATATTTAAGTGCATAGCAAGCGTCCTGCCTTTCTTTTAATGCAAGACTATAATTGAGAGAGTGGAGTTTTTCCATCGAAGCAGGCCCATTATTGTAATAGTGAAGGTACAAATTAGAATTGGTAGAATTTTGTGGGTAATCTTGCACTGTGCTTGCCTGCACTGTGCCTTATTATCAGATCCTTGCTCTTATGAATACCAGAATTTAGAAATACTAAAAGTTCATGGAAAGCCAAGCAAATGACAGTTACCACATGCTGTTTTTCTGCTCTTTTTGTAGCTGTGTTGCTAGTGGAGGGTCACCAACTTATTCTAGAAAAGATACCAGATTGGAATAATGTAGAACTCATAGTGAATGGAGAGACTGTTTTCCAGTGTAACATTAATGACCTGGACTTTGGTAAGTATAGGAGTTTCTTCACTGTAACTCCTCTTTAAAAGCTATTTAATTTTGAAATAATAGCACTTCCTAAGGCATAGTCAAATTTCTGTCAATTTTAATATTAATACTTAGAAGTTCTAAAATGCCTTATACGTGAGGCATCTTAAAGTGCACAGCAAGAAAAAGGATGGCTCAGTGGTTAGGGCAGTAGCTTGGAGCTTGATGACCCAGATTCATATCTCTGCTCCATCACAGGCTTGCTGTTTGACCTTGGGTAAGTCACTTAATCTCTCTGTATGTTTGTTCCCCATCTGTGAAATTAGGAAATAGTACTTCCCTATCTCACAAGGGTATTGTGAAGAAGAACTCTGTGTTAGCTCGAGGCTTGTTTCTCTCATCAACAGAAGAATGGTCCAATAAAAGATATTACTTCACCCACCTTGTCTCTCTACATTAAAGATTGTGAGGCTCTCAGAATCAACAGTAATAAGGCCATATAAGTATGATGCATAGTTAATTTATCCTCACAGTTATGTGAGGTAGTTAAGATTATATATAACAGGGTCATTTCAGACTAAAGCTGCATTTGGTGCGGGGCACAGCAAGTTAGGACAAAAGGTGAAGAGTGTTTCAACTAAAATGAAAAGGAGTACTTGTGGCACCTTAGAGACTAACCAATTTATTTGAGCTCCTCTGAAACCTGTCAACTAAAATGGCAGGTGAAATTTAGTATACCTGCATCTAATAGCCTATACTGGAGTTTGGCCAGAACACTAATTAATATTATTGCTGATTGGGAGTTTTCAGCACAATGATTTTCTAACAGAAACTGCCCTTTTTGCAAAATTGAAATTTTCCCTAGGAAATTTTCTCCATCCAGTTTTGTCAAAATGACACCTCCCTGGTTGCTCACCTGGAAGGTTCTTGCCAATTTCATTTTCTGCCTGCAGGGAGAAAGTGAAATTGGTGAGAGCCTTCCTGGTAGTCTGACTTTTCATCTCGATTTGGGACTTTTTTTTCCCAAAAGCATGAAATTTTTTGCCATAAGGAATTTCCATTTTCCAGCCAGCTCAAATTTTTCCAGCTCCATTTCCAGCCAGCTCTATCAGTTCAAAAATGTCATAGAATCACTATCGATTACATGCAGCAAAGACTTCAGTTTTGTTATCTGAAAGATGTCACTGCCAACAACACTTAATTCCATGCTGGTGCACTGATTAAATACTGGCTTATGGAGCGGAGTGCTATCCATCTACTGAATCACCAGCAGTGTGCATCCATTGCCTGCAACATATCTGTATTCTCTGAAGTTCTCCACTCCAAGTACTGAATCCAGTGTCATCAAATTATTCAGCTAA